AGAGGGTGCTCTTTGGTGATATGAGCTGCGATGAACAATTGTTTCCCTACTTCTTTAATTAGCCGCAAGGATGTCAGTTCCATTCATGTGGTTTCTTTTAAAGCCTGACACTTAAGGGGACCAAACCTGCACTTATCTATGCAGATCTGCACCCAAGGGCCAAAGAAAGAAACCCGGCTGGTAACAGAGCCTGTGATGAGCCTAATAATCCAACAAAATCTGTCATTTTAATGAAAGACTTCTTTGATTGTGTTTTTTTTTTTACCCTCCCTGTTCTTTCTTTTCTTTTTTTGCGTTTTGTTCCTTGGCCATGTCTCTGCCACCAAAGACAAAGTGGCAGAGGATGAGTTGCTCTGAGAATACTAAAGCTCTGTTGTTCCTACGGAAATGTTGCTTAAGTGAATCTGATTATTAAGTCTCGCTTTTGTTGTGTCAGCAGCTTCTGCGCCTCTTATCAGAATTTAACTTGTTCACAATCTTCGGCAATCGGTCAAGATAGCGTTGCTGTGGATGCAGAATTGAACTAAAGTCCTCTTATAATGACTTGTGCTTCGGCATGCGAGTCCTTAAACACATTTTAAAATTTGACTAATGATCATTTAGACATGATCTGACACATCATGAATATTTGTAAAGTAGAAATTGCATATAGCATATATACTGAACTTTTGTCTACTGTTCAAGAAGAAAAATCTGTGATCTCACCTCCCCATTACCTCATCTTCCCTCTTTGCGTGGTGATTTCACTTTCCTACATAGTTGCTCCCTAAGTCTTTTAATTTTTAATCATGTTGTCACTACCGTGATCCAATCGTCCTCTTGATTTTTCCTGTAGACTGACTCTTATTCCATTCTCCCAACTCTCCAATCTCTGTGTTTCAGAACATGCCATATCTTGTGTGTTTTAGTGATGCAATGTTACTTGCTGTTCAAAAACAAAAAATGGTTGATTGCTTTACTCATAAAAAGCTATTTGTGCTTCACATGTTGCGAAAACAGTCTTAAACAGGGTCAATTTTCAGTAGAAAATCTCGAAAATATGCTAATCCAGTACTCTATTCACAACTTTTGCTGTCCACATCTGGTTTCCGAGTTAATTGAAACTTGATGACGTTGTTTACACCTTTGCATGTGCGACATGCATAGGCCAGTAACATGCTAATCTAACTGAATTTATTGCGTGAGCAGCAACTTTTACCTGGTACTGTTTCCCCAGTTTCTCGTTCAATAACATATCATATCAGTACAGGCAGATATTCACACCATTAAGTGCAAATATTTGCTTAAAGAAAGCAACTGAAAGGGTAAAGGTTGCAATGATTTGTGGAACTGGTAATCATTATGATATTTTTAGAGCTGGGTTTATGAAACACCACATGTAACCTAGCTCTTTAAATTGCATTTCTATTTTTAAAATAAAAATCAATATTCTACTTCGACTGCTCGATGTATCAGAGATGCTGAAGAGCTGAACGGTTAGCAGAACTATAATCCAATGAACCTGTGAGTAAAACCTTTCCCCAGAGCATGTTTTAGAGCTCTGCTGCAAGTTATAGCAGAAAACCATAGTTACGCTTTTCCAAACTACACAGTTGTGTGTGTGTGTGTGCATGAGTATGAGTTGTTGGGGGCATATCAAAGCTTATCTTTTCTATTCTAGACAAAGCCTCAGTTATAGTCTTCACAGACTGCACAGGGAAATCTTTACACCACCTGAATACTAACACCACTCACCTCAACATTTAATTACTTATCCCTCTCACTAAACAAGAGCTGTGATTGAGCTTAGTGGGGTTTTTTATGTTGATTGCAAAACACATCTTTGAAAGCAATTTAAGTCCTCCCTTGAAACGTGTGCAGTAAAAACAGAAAACGATGTGATTTTTTCCATCATCTTGGTTTCAGCTGGAATGTGTTTCTAATTGTGTGTTAAGAAGAAACATAGTTAAAAAAAACTAATTTTAAGTTATGGGAAATTTTATTGGAGGTTCAGAGCAAAAGCAATTAGTATGTGAAGCCTTCGGTATATGCATGTGCTGCGTGTTTTAACAATGAAGGCAACTCTGCCATTTCGACCAAATTCATCTTGCTGCCCAGGATTAACAAGCAACAGTAAACAACCCTGAAATAAAGTGACAGTGCTCTGGCAGTTACAAATTAGGTGGCTGCTGTGGTTGTGCTCATTCACTCCAGACTTAGACAAAAAACTAGATGAAATGATTACTTACTTATGATCGCTGTTCTATTACATTTCATTGTTGAGTTTATAAATGTATTATTTTTCTTTACTTAAAAAAATTGCTACCACTATGTTATAACAGCATGAGAGGAGAGCATGGTAACTGATTATTTCCAGATCTCTAAGTGAATTTTTGATATCCTGGGAAACTGCACACTTGGAATGGACAACCTGTACCCATGTGAGGATATGTGTGTTGATGGATATGGATTATTAGTATTGTTTATAGTCATACAAGTTTGGAAACAACATGGTAATAAATCATACAGACCGCCTCATGAATATGTTGCACATTGTGTCTGTGTCTTCAAGTAACACTTCACTTTTCAGCTGTAATAGACGGCCATGAAAGACACCTGTTAGCAACATTAATTTCTCTCCTTTATGCACAACGTAGAACTAAATGCTTCCACAAACCTGAGTGCTCACGAGGTTACGCATAAGACATGGCCTCACTCATTTTTGTAAAGGGCCTGTACAGCTTATAGTGATTATACAGGACAGGTTCGGCACATCTTCTCTCACATGCACTTCAACAGTCCAACTGCTTGTTTTAAATCTTTTATGGGATTAAACAACCAAACTTTTCCTACTTTCTACTGATTCTGCCCAATTTGTAACACTCTATCACAACTCCTTGTGCTATTATCTACTGCGTGGTAAATAATGTGTTGACTTTGCACCTACTCAAACTTTAGTGCTGACTAAGCAGTATTCTCCTCTTCCGGTGAACATCCGCAGTTTTAATGCAACATGCCTGGGCAGCTAAAATTACAATAACCATCTGTTACTGAACCTGAGCATGACAACAAATTTTATATAAACAGTCCATTTATCATGGAAATTGAAATAAAAGCAAGCAATGAAACAATTATTAGAAGGGGGGATCCTCTTAACAAAGATCTTCTTTTTTATTAAACATTTTCTTTCAAACATCCGCAAATGTGTAATTATCAATATTTTTACTAAACCTGTATTTAATTAAACCACCCGGGTGGGTCTTAAACACAGTTGCACACACGTCTGTTGGCCTTCAACTACAATGTGACTCAACCCACAGGGATGCAGGGATGCTCTGTCTTTTAGGCTCTGTTTGCTCCTCACCCCTATAAATAATTCATTTAGCACAGCGGGAAAAACGCATGTCAATTAGCCCGGCTTTTTTTTTTTAAGCGGCAGGTGTCCCTTCATGCTGGCGAGAGGAATTATGTCGAGAAACAGTGCATTATTTAGCATTTCTGGACATAACTGCACAGTATAACTGGCCACATCACTCATTCTGTTTGATTTGAGCAGGCCTTTCGTATCTTTTTCTTTTCCAATGTAAGGATGGTTTCAAAGTGTCTCTGCTGTGTGCTGCATTATTATTACTCTGATTGACTTCAGTTTCCATCACATCTTAACAAGGCCTCATGTTTTATGTACCATTACTAGCAAATGCAATTGCTGAGGCTCTTTGGAAACTGGTCCATTTTTCTCCTTTTGGTACCCGCAACCATCTCAATCAGCCTTGGAACTTTAGAAATTATATATACTCTAGTCAAAAAGTAACATATGTGAAGCATCCCTTCTGTCTACAACCTGTCCAGAGTCAAGACATTTTAATACCATTTACTGTGCATGAAATATCATTATTATTTTTTTATTACACAGCAGCAACTTTATCTTACATTAGATAAAGAATGTCATGTAGCTTTGAGACCAGATCTTTCATCAAATTCCCATGCTTTATAATCTACATTGTTTTCTTTACTTCTGTTTGCTCAAGAGAAAGTTTGAGTGTAAAGTTTTAACAGCCCTAAAAAAAGAAGAAAGTATAAGGTTAAATTTACCAACGCTACACTTTAATCAAAGCTGGATTTGCAGGCACACTGCTCAAGACATGAGGGTCTACCTGGGAGTTTCTGTCAGCAAAGAACTTGACGAGTAGCACTGTTGCTTAGTTACAATGCCTTAAGCAAAACCGTGACTCTGATGGCCATGGGCTGCTCTCAGGTACAATTTTCTCAGCCAAACCGGAACTGATATTTTGTTTATGAAGAAATGCATCTTCTGTTTTCTGACAGAGACGTATTTTGAGAAGAATATTCTGAAATTACTTTTTAATTTCACTAACTTTTTAGCTGATTGTGATGGCCAAATTGCTTCAAGAAAATGACCCAGACATTTTTCCTCTTTCTGAAATTTTCAATATTTCAGTTACTTTACCTTTATGAAGTAAGTACTTTTTTGCCGCTTTCATGTGATAGCAAAAATTATACAAATTGTAATATAATAATAATGGGAACAGAATGGATTTTGCTTTATTTAAGTAAAATAGTGTGTTCTTGACTTTTTCCTTTAGAATTTAAGAAATGTATGAAAATCAATATTAGCAATCTTTGGAGTACTGAGTTTGTAAGAACAATTTGAAGTAGTTAAACAAGTGTTGGTGGAAAAATAAGTTTGAACTAAATGTATAAGGCTTGTGATAGCATTCATTTTGTTCCAGCCTGTAAAAATCAATGCCTTGTTTATTCCAGTCATGAGCCCTATAAATTGTTGCTCTTGACTGTGTGACTCACTGCGTGGGAAATGATCTCAGATGTTAAATCATCACTCTGAACAAATAGGGCAGTTGTGTGTACATCTCGATAAAACAACTAATTAGTCTTTAATTTATTCTTTACCATAAATTTTCTCACAAAACATGATTTCATCATGTTGTTTTACACAACGGAAATATAAATACAAAGAACTGGGGAGTAAGGTGCTGTTTGATGTGGAGACAATAAATTGTGTTGAATCTGTATCAGAATCATTGCAGATATTAAATTATTATTGTTGTTGTTATTGATCTCCTCCAAATTCTTTTTTGATAATATACATACTATATATTTGAACTTTAGGTTCTAATCTTTTAAACCACAGTTCAGGTTTGGAGCATGCCCCTGTTCCCTGGTTATTCTCACAGATTTAGTGTGGAAGGTCTTCTTACCGTCCACAACTACGATGCAATCAGTGACACTGCAAACAATCTACACTCTGGAATAAGAAGGGAGGTATCCTGATTTAATGCACATCCACTGCACACCAATTCACATTGAACATATGTAAACAAAAAACTATTTAACAAAAATATCAATTTGATTTGCCAGTCAACTTTTCCTTTGCCGGTAAGACAGCTGTGGCTCATACATACAACCTCCCTAGAAAAACTAAATACATTTTTTCACATAGATACATCCACAGGGCTTTTAAATATAATGCAAATCATACGTTTATGATGTCGTAATTTGAAGCACCATTTAAGTCAAAGATGTGAATACTTGAATACAAAGACATGAAAAAAAACAACTTTTGTTTACCTCATCTTAAAATTTCCTGATTAAAAAGTTTATATGAACTTATTTTTAACAACTGAGCTTGACAAGTGTACAGTAAAACGTCAAAAGTTAATACACTGAGCAGAATGTAATATATGTAACAGACTTTAAAGGCCTTAATAGACTGCTACCACATTTTTCATTCATGATGTTGTAATTATTGTATTTTGAAGTCCTCTGAGATCGTACCTCTTACTTGTTTCATAACTGGAATCAAAGGGGCTGGACAGATGGGCAATGACTCTTTAGCCCTGCTGACTGGCTCCTTTCTGTTGGTGTTCTTTCTGTCTATAGTGGAAAAGGCTGGTGGTGTCAAGCTCACCAGCATGACGAATAGCTTCAGCAAACAACTTAACCACCTACAAAATGGAGAAGGAAGTTCAGATATTTCAGAAAATACAATAAAGTTACAGTACCAAATGGTAGTCAGTAAATGCCATTTTTCATCAAAAGAAGGGCTCAATAATCTGACCTGGTAATTCGTGATGAGGGGAACACCATGATCAACAGCCATTCTGCGGATCAGGAAGTTGTCTTTAAGGTGCCGGGTGTTGTTATTGGGCAAGTTGACAACCAGGTCGATAAGGCCCTCATTAATCAATCTATCAACATTTACAAACACAAAGTCAAAGACAACATCACAAAATTAACTCAAATTTGAATCTCCATCAGCAATATCCTAAGTCTCAGTATCAGGATTGTTCATACTACTGATCCTATCACAAACCACCATGCGTTTGGCTCTAAAAAAGCAAAGATTTTATTTTGATTATACAACTTCCAGGGTGTTGCACTGATGAATAAAAAGCCATCGCAAAAAATATTTATTATGCCCATATTTCGAGTAAACAAAAAAGGGTCATGAGATCCAACCAATGATGAAAGAAGTGGTAAGTTAGCAAATCCTTGGTCTTCTAAAATTAACAATGGCTCAAATTGTAGTTTAAAGCTTCAATCAAAATTTCCATTAGTTTTTTTCTTCACAGGAGGCATCTGTTTACTTGTTCGAGGTATTGCTATGAAAAAGAAAAAGATTTAGAGGTATTTTCAGAATTGTTGATACTGCTTATTAACTGTTGTATTTTTTTTTCTATTTTAGACAACTACAGTTTGTTCACCCATTCTACTGCTAACATGATGACTAAAAGTAGTTTGCATCAATTCCGTCACAGAAGCATCCTTGGTAAGCCTTGGGCTGCTTGTGGGTGACAATTGCATTCAACAAGGAATGTGATTAAGAAAAATGGCAGCCATAGCAAATGACGTCATACGTCTAATACTCTGTGTGTGATGCATGAAATAGAACATTCAGATGTATATGGGCTTTCTTACATCAGCCTGTAAACTAATCATAGATCAGCCTTAAAATAGTTCAACACTGCGGAGGCTTCACACTGACCAAGAACAAACATGAGGGTTTATGGTTTTTAGAATGAATAATTCTTACACATTTTAGCAGCAAACAATTATGTTCTGTGATACAAAACAGAAATATAAGGAATACATTATCAGCCCCCGCAAACCCTTTATTTCCTCTAATGTTATAGAGCTAAGATGCCTGTTTGTGCGTGTGTGGTTTTGACTCCTGCTCTAAATAAACCACATTTTTTTATTCAAAGGACTGAACACAGAGGTATGGGGATACACACTAAATTGCTCTTTTTATCTGATTTAAAGAGATTTATGAGCTGCTTGAAAGGTCTGCGCCGTAGGTTTTACTTTCATTTTTAGCTGTAAGTTGCTGCTGCTCAGGCGCCTTACGGGAGACATTTCCTACAGTTACACGTTACCCTCGTTTAATGAATGAGGCAACCATGAGGACAAGGATGGCAATTCTAAGCCGCCTGCAAGGCCACTGTTCTTCTAAAAATAAGTATTTGTATCATGACATGGTTCTTTGGAGAGGTCTTAGATACTTGTATCTTTAAATAATCTTTTGCATGTGGAAGGTCCTAATGCAGCGCTCTATTGTCACTGATAAACTACCAGAAACTGTTGGTGACCGTGCATTGTTGCCCTCCACAAATTACCAGTAATCTGAACATGGCTTAAGGAGCTGTCCAGTAACAGAAAATCCAAATTGGATTTCATCATGAAGAAAATAAATCAACAGAATTCAAGTGCCACCGTCAAGAAACTATGCCAAAGGTTTGTATGTTTAAAATGGCTTGTCGTACCTCTTTTTTTCTGGATACTGGCTTTTCCGACCACCCAAAACTTAACTTCTTTGGTTTTACATAAGAATTTCCTCATTCTCCCTGTCAGAGCCTTTTTTCTGGTCAGTGAAATGACTCTTGACTTCAGAGTGGGCTAAATCTTCTTTGATCATGTCAATATCTTATAGGGATAATGAGAGGGTTTGGCTTTAGATCTTAACTCAGTCTCCTCTGCTAATTAGGTATTAAAATTTTTAATCCAATGAAACACATCCCCACTTCCACTGACCTTTTAATACTGGGCAAGGTGGTGTCTTGATCTTTATCAGTGGGCCAGGCCACAGGAATGGCAGGAACATCATTGGCACACAGCCAGGCAGATGTTGCTTCAGTAGCATAGAGCTAGATGGGAAACAAGGCAACATGTGGACACCAAGAGAATGTTAAAAAAAATAGTCAGTGGACGAAGGGAGACCTCTGAATCTTTTAAAGAATTAAGGTTTAAAACCACGGAGGAAGCTGTTCAATATTGTGTCTGGCCTGCAGTGTTTGAAACACACACACTTGCAGCACTCACCTTGAAGCCTTCCTCTTTCAGTTGGTGTGCAGTGGCCAGGAAATTGGGTCTGAAAGATTGCTGGAGGAATGCGAAGCAGAAGATCTTGAAAGGTCAAACCATCTTAGAAGTATGGTCAAAAAAGCTAACAAAAAATGATTCTTCTTAAATTGTTTTTTTTTTTCTCTTCGTCTATAATATTTTTACAGATAATGCAGGTGACAAGATTCATCATGTTTGTACCATTTTACTATGTAAGGTGTGCACTGTGGTCTACAACAACGTAAGGAATTCATAAACATGTAAATAATGAAATACTATTTCAAACTTGACAACATCATGACAATATCTGCTAAGGTATACATGCACAAATCAACAGATTCAAGTTATTCTCAATGTAATCAGCTGAAATAGATATGAGATCAGTACTGGCTTCCAGCAGATTTGTATTTGTTTATGTCTGAATGTGTATGAACAGCAAAACAGTGGTGTGTTCATGATGTGTTTTGGGGGAAATACTGATTTTTGCTTCACATCCACGAGCTGTGAAATTGACCATGTCCCTCTTTTCCACAAAGTTTACTATTCATGATTTTAGAGCGCATCTTTTGAGCTTGCTCACATTGATCAATGTAATAGTAACTGTGAGTGCATTATCATTTTTTTCCCCCTGTGTTATGTTAAGAGATGGCACCAATGAGACCAATGAGAGACATGGGGAATGACAGGAAACAAAGACTGAGGGCAAGATGCTGTTATAATCCAGCAACCCTTACGGAAAGTACAAAATAAAAGATCACTATGATCAGTTTGCTCTCATCAGTCAGCCTACAGTGATGTGAGGCATGGTGGTGTGTGTGGCTCAAACAGTGACTAAACAGATGGCCTGTTTCACTTAAACAGCTGTAGTTGCTCTTTGATAAAGTTGAACAGTTTAAACATGATGTTTTGTGAGGCAGCAAGATTAGACTAGTATGTTATCAGAAAATATGCTATGGCGTAAATGTTTTCAATGCATGTTTTCAGAGAAGGTAAGAAATCATTGAGCAAGTTCAAATAAATTCAAAACCAAGAACCAACTGGTTCATCAAAAAAGATAGGTTGAAAAAAAATGTTAAATGTGATTGCAATTTCTATCGTCATTCTGTTGCCAGGTTGATTGTACATCTTTACTGTAGGGGCAGTCGTGGTTTTCAGTCATATGTGAACCGAGAAAAAATGTCAGGGGGGTGCCAGACTAACACTGTGAGGAGCTCTTAGCCTGAAAGGTTTGGACCGCCTGTTCAAAATGCAACTTGCATATGATATCTTGTAGGCAGGGTTCACCAAAAAGGAAAAAGACAGTGGGGGGTGGAGCGGACCTCCAGATGGCTGTAGTTTTACCTGAATCCCGATCAAGATGCCCTTCTGTGGCAGCTTAAAGCCTGTGGAGAGCATAGCCTTCAGGAAGGCCGAATAAATGTTTGGTCCAAAGCAAGCTACCTACAAGAGAGCAAAGTATGTTGTTGTTTTTTTGTTTGTTTGCTTTATGCAATTAGTGGAGTAAAGGTTGGGTCTTATCCTTAATTTCTGTGGAGCTTACTTCTCCAGTGGAAGCCATCTCACAGCGAAGCACCGGATCTGCATCTCTCAGTCGTGGCCAGGAGAACATAGGCGCCTTATGAAAGAGGAGAAAGATTTTGATGTGAAAATGAATGAAACGGGATGTGAGGCGATACAGAAACTCAATTACTTCTTTTGAACTATGCTCTAATAAGCACACCTCTGTTACTGGATAAATAGAAAAAACCCAGCTAGGACAAAATCAACAGTGGAAACATGATAAATTGATCCCACTTTAACTGAGAAAGCTCTGTATGTGTTTATAGTTTGATTAACTCTGTAAACATACTTTGGATCTTCTTAAAACTTAGTAGATCTATTGCTGGGATCAAAAACAAAAAGTACAGTATAAATGTGACTCAATGATGGTCTGCTGGATTTCACCAGTCGGGCTTCTTGTTCATTTTCGGTGGGTAATGCCTTACTTGCTGAGCCAAAGGATTCCTTTGCTTTGTGTTGGGACTTTGAGAACATTATTTAGTATCATAAAGCATCAACCGAAGCACAAGCCAATCATTTTGGCTGATGAATGGTTTGTCTGCTGCTGTGACGGATCGTTTCTACAATTCCAAACATCAGAATTCATGCTGCTGAGTGAGAATGCATCACATCTTTGTAAATCATAGCCCGGAGTTAAAATTCAGTTTTAAGTGACATGTTTTCACACTTCAGCCTGCTCATGCACAAATAAATAGAAACAAACATGTCAAAATTGAGATGGACAAATTCAGGACATTCTGGCATCTAGAGTGAAAGAAGACTTAGATGTCTATAAAGAGTGAAATCCGTTATAACCATGTGGCTACTGCAGCATTTGTATAGAATATTGACTATAGATGAATATACATGTAAATAATATTTGAAGCTAAAATGGGTAGTTGCTCATGTAAGTGAACTGTATAGTTCTTCATGAGATTACAAAAAATTGTAAACTCACAAATTAATTAGTTAGCATAACGAAGTAAATTATATCAATCATTTGAGCCAAGCTCTGTGTCACAGTTAAAATCTTAGAATGCTTAGAATAAACTAAACAAACAATGATAAAAACACTTTTATGGTATACAATTTGCATCCCCTTATGATATTAAGTTAAATGATCACTGTTGGTGCAAGCTCAAACAAAGATACAAAGAGATTAAAACTTCAAATGAGGGTTCAGGCATACTTCCAGACAAATAGAAGGAAAAAGTTGAACACGGGTTGGTCAAACAGAAGACCATTAGCTCCCTAAGAAGCTTGTATGGCATGCTGCCCACCCACTGAGAAGAAGCGGAATTTAAAAGTTAGGGTTTCTGGTGGAAGAGGAACAGGATAAGCCAAAAGAGAAAGTGATGATAGTGGATATGAAATAATAATATAGATAATAAAAGGGAAAAGAATTGAGGTAAAATTAAGTGGAGAGGATAGGGAAACGGACCGGGAAGAATAGGAGAGGAGAAGGAAAGAATATGATACAACTGTGGAACTTTAAAGATGAACTTGGGATGGAGAAAGTATGCTCCAATTATTGTATTCCTGTAAAATTAAGAATGGTGAAGTGCCATGTGGGAGGCCATTCTTTTTACTCTATCTAAAAGTCAGACAACCCTGGTTACCTTGAGGACAGGAAGAGCTGGTGTGGTGTTGCATGGCTTAAGTATCCGTTTATATACATACACATCCTTGAAGCAGGTTATCTAATCAGTGAACGTCATGTTAGCATACAAATGGAAGACGGGACGATAAAAATGGAATGCACATAGGGAGCCGGAAGAGCTTATCGTGCCTTTGTTCAAAGAGTCAGAGACAGACAGGGAAGAGTGCATAGATAAAATGACAGTGTATCCAAGAAAGAAAATTAATTGGAGAAGAGCATGTACAGTGGGAATAATACTGAAAGTAACTTTTAATGAAACAGATCAAATCAGATCCAAGTATAAATGAGCAAGTGAAAGCCGTGAGCAGCCACCTGGAAAACACCCAACACAGCTCATTTTACCCACAGAAACATTAATATTATGTAACCGCTGCATCCTAACACATATAAACAACTAAGCACAACTGCTTGGCTCCACGGCATGAACAATATTATCACAGGACACCAGATGTACTTCAATAGAGAAGCAAATTAGTCCTGAAAGCAACATTCCCATGACACTCTTATTAGTAGTAGACAGGACATGTTGAAGGCAGAAGTGACTTCAGAAGTGATATTTTAATATTCAGAGCTCAAGTGACAGTACCACTTAGACTATAATGATGTCCCAAGTGACATATTTTTTTTTTTACATTTAGCAGGAATAAAAAAAAAAAAGACATTTCAACTTACTGAGAACTGGTTTGAGTCAATGTAACCTGAATTATGAATGTTAACGGACGGCAGTGGATTGAAGTCCTCAAAATTGCTTAGAAAAAATTTACATTTCAATGATATTTCTTGATGAATAATTAAATATGTGGGTCTCAAAGTGTTTGTGGAGTGGTTAGGCTTCTGTGCCTCACCACAATAAACTGTAATGAGTTAAAACAGTTGTCATACTTTCAGCTTTGGTTCATGGCATTTAAACATTCTATTAAGGATTTAGATGAAGATGTGTTCTTTAGTATTTCAATAAAGTAACATTATTAGAAATAATAAGCATAAAAACTGGGATTATTTACATGGATGTGAATCATTTGCGGTCAGAATCTGTTGAGGGCATGTTGTTCTTTTACTGTGGCTGCCCTCCAATCAAATTACACCTTCTGTATTTTCTATGACTTGGACAACTAAAACTAAGAAAACTATGAATGTGTCCTTCACACGGGAGATCACTTAATTAGGGCAAACAAGGAATGGAAAACAAAAAGCAGAAAAGAGTGAAGCTACTTTCACAAATAATTCAGTTTGCACTGTGCTGTATGTGGGGGAAGGTGGGGGCAAGTGAGGAGAGCTGACAAGTGCCAATCATTTCCTCATTTGTTACCAGGATGTCAGAGAAACGGTTACCTTTTCCACACTGCACACTAGGTGTGCCGGAATTAGTTCAATTTACAAATGTACAGATATCTTTATGTGTCCGTTTCCGCAGAAAACAGACAATGTCTAGATCAGGATCATGGTGTTTTCTCCTTTGAAACTGAAGAAAGGAAAGTTGAAAGTCAGTTTTTGATCTCGAACTTCCAAAAAACAAAAAAAAAGAAGTAAACCTTTCAATTGTCTTTGACTAAAATGTCTTGTGAACGACACATGGGTGTCTTTAATCAACTCATCCCTGTGATTTTCCCTTTGAGCTTATATATGTAGACTGAAATTACACAGCAGGGACTTGTTAGTGAAAAAGGTGTAAAGAAAGCTTCAAACACGGCACCTTCGGAGTGAAAGAAAATAAGCAGCAACATTGAGCCTGTGAGGGATAAATGATGGATAAATGAATAAGATGTCTCTGGATAGGAATGTCTTCTTCCTTGTGAAGACACAGTAACGATTAGGACTGGGAGAGGTGAAATATTGATCAAATACACACACTTCAGGCGAATTAGAAATGCAGACATTTCTGTGTGTTTACAATGCTGATATGAGGCTGTGGGAGCCATAATGTGCATACCAGGAAGGAAGAAATTAGCCTATATTTATCAAATTTGCCCCATACATGGGTGCAGAGTTTCAAGCAAAGGCTCTTATCAGTCAGGGGTGTGAAGTATGTATCATACACTCCAAGTAAACTTTGGGAGCCTTTTGAGCCAGGCGCCAGGAGAATTCAGGGCTCTGTTTAATATTCCTCACCAACGAGCAGACTAGAAATTGAAAACTTTGGGTGGTGGTGTAGAGTGGGGATTATACCTGCGTGATTGGCTCCAAACTACAACCATTGTTACAGCAGCTCTGTTGTAATTAGAGTGAGAAATTACTTTGAAAAAAAATTGCTTTAGAACAGCTGGCGACAAGTAATCTCTCTCAAATCCAATCTAAGAAGTAAGACTCCCAGTTGGTGTAAGAAAGCTGCCCACCACTCTTCTCATTAGACCTATGTAGAGGGATGGAGTGGTATTTGCCATTTTTACTGTCTATGGAATCTAATGTTAAACAGCCTGTAGATTCTAACCCACTTTACCTACGTTCTGTGTTAATGAAATAAAATTGGGGAAACAAAGCTACCAGAGAACATTGTGACAGTAGTGTGGCCAGCTCATCATCAGGTTAAATTGTAACAGTTGTATCAATGTCTGTGTCATCTAAAGGTCAAAATGACAAGTTTTGTGAATGAAAACATTGACACTCAACTTTATAACAGCTTTTTACTTAATTAAGAAAGAAACCCTATTAGCAAAAAGAACAATCAAGAAAAAGGCTGCCTACTGTGGATATTGTAGCAGAAACTTACTTCACAAGAGCTTAAAACAAGGCCAAATCAGTGGAATTGGCAGAAAAACTTGGTTATTAGACAAATCACGTCTGGTTGATCTTATGCAAATCTGGAAGCCTGCACCAAAATCTGCTGCAACCTAAACGATAACATGGCACTATGTATTTCAATGTCATACAACATTCAGAAGTTTGTACTAAAGTTGATTCTTTCTGTAGGGTGATAAATCCAAGCGCATATAACTGCAAGAACTATTCGAGAACAAGGAGTGCTGACTGTTGTGGGTTTTAATCTATGGTCCCCCATTAAAGTTTCATGTGACTAAAGCTTTCATGATTACGTGAGGGCTAAACAATACAAGCAATCCAAACAGTAAAAGGAGCTCTTTGGGAACATGGTCAACTTGCTCTGAGATGACATTGGGAATTCTGTTTTGTGGAATTCCTGAAGATGCATTAAAGCAGACTGGGGCACAAAAACTCTTGTGCTATTGGGAAATCCATGTTGGACAACATCATACAACCTCTATTGTTTGTCAAGAAAATATCAATTTCTGTATGAATGATATATACATTTTTTATTTACCGAAGGAGTAACTGAAAAATAAAATAAATTTAATTTCAAAGTATGAAATTCTTCATTGTAACCAGACAGCGGCGGTCAAACCGCATTTATCAACATTGACGCAAAAGCTGAACGCGATCAATATGATACAAGAGCTTATTTAAGACAGTCATCATTACTGTAGTGTGCACAAACACTCCCGTTACAGAATCCAAAAGAACAACAAAAAAAATTGTAAACAAGCTCCTAAATAATGCTCACACAGACCAGAGAACCACAGAAGTCTAGCTATTGCTCTTTCCCTTTAAATGCTGGACTGCGTAGGTCACATCAGTTGAAGTGTTATGACTCAGTTTATTCAGAAATGTACTCTCTATTGTGCAAAACAACGAGCGTCACTGCAAACAACCAAAGACAATATAGATAGAAAATATGGAAATGAGCAGCAATACTCACAGAACAGCTTTGGTTGAGCTAGCCAAAGTAGAATTCAGGGCAGGCACTTCAGCTGACCAAAGGGGCACTTACAGAGCATTTTGTCTCATCACAGAAGCTCCTCTGGGGCCGTTGGCTAGATCAGACTGAGCAGATTGGAGTGCTCTGTTTTGTGTCTGATATGAAAATGGGGCAACAACTGAACTGCAGTATGACAAACATTTAACTAGTACCTGCAACGTGACTGTTTTAATGGATCCGTTCTCAGTAACATTAGATGAGAACTGTTCAGAGGTTCACTATAAAATTACTTTTCTTCTGCAACTGAGAGTAGGTTTGAAAGCAAGCTTCTGGATATTTTCCCTTCAGGCCTGCATAGCAGCCATGTTAGGCCTTCTTACACCAAAAGGATCTTGTTTGAATAGATTTTTAAAACACTGGTAAACTTGTTACATAAGGCAATTAAATCCTTTCCAAATTGTAATGATGGTTATCCATAATTCTCTGAGGACTATGTGTAGTCACAACCTTGAAGAAAACAAGCCCATAACTACGACAACATGAAGCTATGGCATTTTCGTGCGTATAGTTGGACCAAAGCTTGTGGTGATTGTGATTTATTATCTTTTACGGCACATGATGTCAACATGCAGCTGTACAGACGGAGCTGTCTAACGTACTAAAAAATGAATCAGTCTCTTTTTGTCCACAAGTTGTAGCTGTCAGTTTCAAGACTCCAACAAAGACATTATCATCATCAAATATGTATTTCTGTGGAGAAAACGTAAGCGGAGCAGCAGTGGATGGCCGTGCTCCTGGCTATCCACTGTGGCCCACAAATGATCGTGAATATCAAAGTTTAGTGTCTACATTTTTGCAGAAGCATTACAGTCCCATATCTCATTTCTGTGAAATTTGGAAACTCACTTTACCTTAATTCCTACATAGTCAACAGGAATGATTGGTTTCTCCAGCGAAGGCAGGCTGGACTCATCCAAAGGCTCTCCCACCATCACTTTGGTCGCCACATTGATGAAGTCCACACCAATTGTCTTTGATACGAAAGGGAATGAGCGTGATGCCCGCAGATTGCACTCTATCACCTACAGTTAAAAAAGAAGTTTGTTTGGCACTAAATTTGAAACCAATCAGAATATATAACAAGGAGAACAAGAAATAAAGTACACAAATATACAGGGTGTGTTTAATAGTGTGGGGCTCTACAGCTGCAACTTTAAAAAGGAAAGAATGCTGATCGTCAAATCCATCTAGCTTCAGAAACCATTCCGCACGCGAGGCGATTTCAGTCTGTGATTGAATTGCATTCACCGCAACCAGGTGTGAAAATGTCAATCTGTCATTTAGTCATACCCAGAAAAATATTACCTACCATGACATCATTGCCTTTAACCAGAAATTGAGTGTTAAAAGGTCCCGAAATTTCAAATGCTTGTGCAATTTTCCGGGTGGCAATTTTCACCTGAAAGCAATGAAAAAGAACACACACTTTGAATAAATATAAGGTTGTCATTTATATTCTCATACTATGTTATCGTTGCATTGAAAAATGGAGCATACGTGGGAAAAAAGGAAAGCATTTCACCTAAATGTTAAAAAACTGGATTTCGATAAGAGTAGATGGTGGATATAAAAAAAAGGAATGGACAATGCATATTTAGTTTTTTCAAGCAATCCATGCTGCTGATTTCACGTGGGGTTGCTGTTCCATGGCACAAATTGTTTCAGAACATTAAGCCCCTTACAAGTAGATCAGTGAGGAGTTTGCAGGAAATGCATTTAACTAGCAGCAGAACCACTTTGCTGGAATTCTGTTAATTAATCTGTCACTTGATCTGCCATATCACGCACGCTTTTGCTGTTAAATCAATATTATGTTACAGAATTTGTGGCACTACTGTCAAAATACCCTCTAAAACACAGAGATGGACTCTGACTTCACAAGATGCATAAGAGGGCAGCGGACATCAAAATACCCTAACAGACTGAAAGCTTATAAAGAGAATAAAGTGAAAAGTTGTTTTGTACCGCAAGATTTACAAAAAGTAATGAGTGAGAAATGATCATTAGCCCATGGAGAACCATTGCCATTGAGCTTGATATGTTTAACTTGCTAATAGCTAATGTGGTGAGAGCCAAACATTCTATTAAGGCTGTCATGGACACTTTTGTGCAGAAACCGCTGCAGTAAACTGTTTTGGTAAGCCACAGCTAATGAGAGTTCACAGCTGCTTAAATTGCAAGGATTTATCAGGCTCTGCGATTTAACCTTCAGAAGCACCATGTTGTGCTACTTGAAATTTCCCGTGGAAAAAGATAAATCTGCATGCAGTGTTACTTTTTATGATCTTTCTTGGCTGATCAATAACAGTTTAAATGAGGGTTTTTAGCATTTCTTCAGGAGGGAAGCTTTGAATTTTAACATCTTAACACCATGAAAGCACACTTGGCCTATAGCCAGTATTTGTCCCGTTTTGAGGGATGAGAAACATTTTTATTAATGACATAAACACATGAAACGGTTTACTTTTTTCTTTTATCATATAGATCTTAGTGCATATAAAAGTTAACATAAAAGTAAGTTAAGCTCCCATAGACGATACTGTAACTGAACAGTCTGATTTTGCGGGGTCGGTCTTCCTTGCTGCCCTTGACAACATCAGACTGCACTCATTTTCATTAACCTGATTTTAACTGATGCCAGCTTCATGCCTGAATGAGCATCCATTAATCTTACCTTTTTTGACCAAGTAAAACATAACTCTAAACATGAAAGATCTGCATGCAGTCACATTAATAGATCACCACTATCAGCACTGGTGGCGCATAATCTAACATTCAATCCGCATTTCAGAGAAAACCATCAGACTGCTTTATTGAATAGATAGCAGTGCACACTTTCCTACCTTCCTATAGTTTTCCTTCGGATAATTAAGCGTTCCACCTTTACTTTAGGCAAAATACCAATCCAAGATTAATGGGATCATTCATTCTTATGTTCATTACAACCTGTGAGCTGGAGCCTCTGCTCTCTGCCAAACGCAGAGCGTGACAGTGACAACATTTAGCTGTGGTGAAGGCAGCGGACCATGGCGAAGTGAAACATTATGTTTTTCTGGAACTAACAATAGCTGTCCTAGTAGCTGCAAAGGAACATAAGAGGAAAGAAATACCGGTAATCACTTATCATCAGCGGCTCAGCAAGCTAACACATAGCTGTAAAATACATTTGTATGGCTAATATGAACTGCTACGTTTTACCTCAGTTTATGGGCTGTTCTAATGGCAAATACTACATGTAAACTGTGCCTTTCAGACAGTCATCATAGTCACATCTGACTATAGAGATGGTTTGAGTTTGTGTTGTCCATACATTTATTTTTTACCAAAATATGTTGATATATAGCCACTTTAAATGTATTAGTTTTAGGCCTCTCCAGCTGACCTATTACATCATGAGCCAAATCAACAGACAACGTTAAGCTAAATGAAAATCGACGTTGAATTGGACATCTATACAATTTATAATTGCTGGAAGTAAACATTTTCGTTTTTGGTTTAATCTGCTCAATAAACAACATTTTGAAGTACCTCTTATGATGTATGAACTTGTACAAGAACGTGTTTGAGATTTAACTGACCTTTTCTAGAGCTCCTTGGCTTATGGTTTGTGTTGGAAGTATTAAGGTGGCATCCCCCGAGTGTACGCCTGCATCTTCCACGTGCTCTGTTATGGCATGAACAAGAACCTGGGCAGACACAAATTGATGGTAACATTGAAGAATGTTCACAGTTTAAAGGGATATAAAACAAGGATATTCTGTTTGTAAAACTCTTTTGTACTGCTACATTCGGGGGATTAAGAGAAAGCTTAAGACTAAGATGAAAACCGGCGCCAGATGTATTGATCTTGTACGTGATGAATATTACATAAATGTTTACACATTGTGAGTCAGCTCCAAAAACAATGTGTATTTCACACTGCACTGTGTGGTAGCATATCCAGAGAGATCAAAAAGGGAAAGAAGAAGAGAAAGAACAGTTATGGACGGGGTAACCTGCACATTATGTACAATTAACAGACTGAATAAGTGGCAGAAATAAAAACAAGGCTGGTCTAAAACACAGTACAGAGACACTAAACATGGCAAGGATAGGCTTTGGGCACAATCAATAGAGGCTGGAGCGTACCACACCAGGCAGGTGCCCCAGGTGCAGGCTGTGGGAGAGGCATCTGAAACTGCCAAGCACATAATGGGAAGGTGCATAAAGCAGATAGCTATGGGATGTATGGAGGCTGATGGAGGAAATTGAAAAGATGAGGGAACTGAAGGAAGCATTGGTTCCAGTGATGAATGGAGGGCATTGGGCCATGTCTTCAGCATTTCTCAAGAACAAAAACAGAAATCTCTGTCCAGAAGAGTGCAGCTCTGAGATACTGCAAATAACCCTCAAGCTCTTAGGCCCCTGGTATAGGACCCTGTGGCCACTTCCCTTAGATCCAGCCGGAAGTCTTAATAATCTCGCTGACAAATCTAGCCAATATTCACATAAATAACTTCACCTTAGCGCTCGCCAGAAACAATGATTCTGGATACTCAGAGTGAAAAGAATAACTTCTTCCTTCCTCCCAAAGGAAAGACGATATGATTCACCAAGCAACTCTGTGCAAGTATGTATCTGAAAATGAGCTGCTATGTCATTAGCCCATTTAAAAAGCTACTAACCACAGCATTCATTAGTGCTCTTCCGATAGAGCCTGTAATTAATACGTATTATCTCTGACTCCTACACAGACACAAACTTGCACACACGCCTAGGCCAGAAGTAATGAGAGCTGTTTGGTATTCATTGAGTGGACAGTCTGTTAATGTGATACTGAAGATATAGGAGGGGCTGTACTGAGACGGAGAAAATCTACCATACAACTGGATAGACCACGTACAGACTGACACCCTTGAAATGACTCTCAGAGTCTAAAGAATAGAAAAAATATGTGGGGTCGGTAGAAAAAAGTTACAAGCTGCTTTTGTCTCCCTCTGCATCAAATGATATGAATACAGTTATCAAGTATTCAAAAGATGTGCTAACTTATCATTATGTGTTTTATTAACAGATATTTAAAGTGGGATACCATTTGTCACAAGTTACCCTCTGTCTGAAGTTACCCTCAGAGTTCTTTTTACAATCAACTGTTTTTTTATAGGAGGTCTTTTGTAACAACCACTATAAAAAGAACCTCAAATGTGCAAACATAATATATGTGCACCTCTCATAAAGTTCTTCTAAATCAAAAACAAAAGTGAGTTTAAATTAAATGTTACAAGTAAACATAAACTTCATCTATTCATCTATTCTCAGTTTTGATTTTGAAAATAAGTAAAATATTGTCTGTTATATAAAAATGACAACAACAAAAAAACGCAAAGATGTCTGGTGACTGTTTATGGCACATAAAACAGTCGAATGTGCAGCTAATGTGAATGATGTCCACTCAGTGATGCCACTCTACCCTTCACTGAGGTGTGCATGCATTCATTAATGCACATATTTCTTAAGGTCCCGACCACAGAATTTCAGGTCTGTGAGTCTCAGGTCTGGGTCACTTGAACACCTCTGTTCTTGTTTATTTTCAGCCAATGTGTTGAAGATTTTTTACTTTTTTAAGATCCTTGTCCTGTGGAATGACCCAATATCTACCAAATTTTGCAATGTTCTTGCCAATTCTTCCACACAAGCTATACATGTTCAGAAGATTTTCTCATTACTCTGTGACAAATATTTATCGCCCAAAATTAAGCCTGAACAGTCCGAGATACAGATTTTCCTGAGCATTGCAAGGGCTGACCTGGGAGGGTGTACTTTTTTTTCCCAGTATTCTGTTATTTCAAGTCACATGTTAGAGTGAATACAGTAAACATTTAAAATCAATTTCTGGCCACTAAATGTGTAATCATTGGCCAGTGATGATTATAACATTGTATGTTACCTTGCCATTCTTAGCCACCGCGTCCACCTCTACCTCCCTGGCTCCACGTATGAACTTGGTGATGACCACTGGATGCTCCTGGAGGACAGACAGTAGCAAGGTTATTAAATTCATGAATAAAAATAAACAAATTCATTGAGAGAGTATCCCACCTACTTTTCAGCCGTCTCTTTCTGTTCATTTCTAATAAATGTTTGCCAGAAATAAAACAGTGAGAGTGGACTGTGGTTGGACTGGATGACGATGTTATCGTGCCTTTATTAACTATGCTGTTCAAACTGAAACAAACAACATTTATTTTAAAAAAGGAGCATGTTCCAGATCAAGAACTGCATATGATATCTCGCAGATATATCATGTGGCTCTCTGCTGTGATGACACTGTGAGAATATCAAAACACATCCAGGTTTCTTGTAACCAAATTGCTGGTGTTCCCCCTCTTAGAAAACAGATGCATTTCAGGCATTTCCGATGTTAAGTAACAACTAGTACAAACACAGTCAGCCTGAATTTGAAGCTGAAACCTGCATGGATGTCAGCCAATCTGGTGGTGATTATATGGGGGTAATTCTGTCTCTAGCAGATCCTATGAAAGCATGCAAAGATGATGATGAACATGAGCTAGACAGCAAAAGCATCAAACTGTGCTGGTATGGTTTGAAAAAGGCAAATCTGAAAACTAAACCTGAAAGTGACATGGATAACGCTGGTGATGACTGCTACGTGTTAACAGTCTTATATATCCAAAAAGTCCAATAAAAAAGGAAGAAAGTCTCTTTGCTGTCGTTATTCACAGTGCCTGTCGTCGACAGAAAAAAACACACTAACAATTCTTACTATTAGAATTTTATAAAAAGACAAAACTAGGATATACAAAACTGGAATACAATTTTTTTTTATCTATTTGACCTACCCTGGCAAGGCTGTTTCCCTTTGTGGGTGCATCAGTTTTTTTTCTCTCCTGTCTGTCCTCCACTAAAATGAATTACAGCAATAATCACGGAATTAAAACTTTGAATGAGGAACCTCTGGCAAATAGTTTATTTTCAGATCACAAGGATACATATTCAAAGGTATATTTGGTTTGCAACCATTTAAAAGATTTGCTCTTTTATATCTCTGTTTATTGTCGTTACAATTGATGATATTCATTATCCATAATGTCCCTCGAGCATTTCTGTTTTGGAGCTTAAAGTTCCTCCATTTCTGTTTTAGGCCTTGAGTGTCCTCGAAAACCTGAGAACATTGATTACTTTAAACTGGCCCTGAGTTTGCTTTATATCTATTCATATATTTATAAAAACAGATATCACTTTGTATTGAAGAAGATTTAAAACAAGTTACAATTCAGACGATAAACTCACAGATACAATTTTTACATTAAATACATCAAGCATGATAAAAATTAAGGTGTATTGCACTTATCTTTCATTAATGTTTTTTTTTACATTTAGTTTTTTTAGCTACTGAATAGGTTGAAGGTTGAAGGTTTACAACAGAGCGGAGTAAGAAGGTTACTTAGGGTTCATTTGACTGTTTTTACTCCAAAAAGCTTCTTGCTGCATTTGAAAATTATGTTGGTTAGAGCAGCAAACGTCTAACCTGAAAAGTTGGTTTCTGTGCAAAGAGCTTAAAGATAAACTGGAACTCTGAGCCGACGGCAGACTTATTCTAGGCAGCTTGCTCACTACAGACACCTTGTTTTTCCCTTGGTAGCATTGCTTTCAATCAGTCACTTATTATGGCTGCCTCACTGTAGAACATAAAATCCCTTCCTAGTAATAGAAAATCATTTTTATTTGCAAATCTGTTTATGCAATGATTCAAAATATAAAATGCTTAGGAAGAAAACTTTAAACAACCATCCTGCCTATAATCCATGTTTTTCAAACGAAAAAATAGACTTGGTAAAGGATGAAAACAGTTGTGTTCTTTTGCTGAATTTTGGCCACGCACTTCAAACGGGAGCCGCAAAAGGTGAACGCTGTATATGATGTTTCAGATCAAAAGAAACATTCCTGAATATTGACACGTGGACTCTTTCAGGTCACAAAGAGAATGAAAGTCATAGGAACTTTCTGCATGAGACTAAAAGCAGGATGGAGTAATGTTGATACTAAGGTAACCACAAAAGAGAAAGCCTTGTCGCCATAACAAAAAAAGTTTGGTGATGACCCATTCAATCTGAAGTCTAAATAATTGAAAACAGTTTGATTTTGCCACCTAAAAATTAATACTGTACAACAATGCTATCACTTGAATTCTGCAGAGCAGAGATTTAGAGTAGATGGTACATTATGAGTTGCATATAGTGTGTGCATACAGAATCAGTGTTTGGCAAAGTGGGGTTGGCTGAGCTATGCTAAACAAACATCTTTGTTATTAGCAATAGTTAACTGAAAGCACAGAAAGAACAAATCATAAAACTGTCTGACATTCCAGTCTGTACATGAAATGTTTGGAGGAGGATCCTGTGATAAATCAAGAGACAGACCTACGGCAGCCTGTCTGCTTCGGATGTGCGGGTATAAACGCTTGATGATTTAATACTGATCTCACCTGGGACACCTGTGCAGCCTCCTCCAAGAAGCGCTTCATCTCCTCGTCTCCATACACAACGTTCATTGCCGAACCGCTGGTGAGATGCAAGTGGCAAATTGGGGGAGAAATGGTGAGTGAGGGAGCAAAAACAGGAAGGCACAGGAGAGGAAGAGAAGTGAGCCAACAGGAGAACATAGAAGTTTCAAATGATTGTTCAAAACACTCATTATCTCTCGATTTCATCACTATTACCATAGGGAACAAGGTCTGGAAACAGTCAAAAAGAAGGAGGGAGAGAGAAAGAGAGAGAGAAGAACAGCTATTTAGGTCGAAAAGCACTTCAGGCTCTTGAAAACAAGTTTAGAACATCATCATTAAAAAAACAAGAGATTTAGGCAAGTTTTCTCATGGTTGTTGTTTTTTATTTAGGATAGGCTATCATCCTATTTGAAAAGTGGTGGCTGAAGGAAACAGGAAGAAGTCAGATCACAGGACACAGCCAAATATTTCCTCTTTAGCTGTTTGTAGCTTAGAGGCAGATGTATGAACAAGCTCTTAAGAACACCTACTGTGTTTGAATCATAGACATTGAAAATTTCAATTAAAAGCATATCATTGGCTTGAATTCCATGTAACCTCTGCTGAATTAGAATATCAATTCACTAGACCTAAATCCAAGGACTAAAATGAACTAAAATGACATTAGTATGTCCATTTATATAATTGCCACTATAAGTGCTGCTAAAAGGAAAACATGTCAGACAATTACTGATATCTAGTGGTCAAGTTTAGATGGCAACTATCTCATCTTTGAGTCGACTGTCAGCTGTGGCATAAAAATTTAAATCCTTTGAAATACTAATTCTACAGTAAAAATGACTATTTCAGACATAAAAAAAGATTAAATGAAATGTTTATCAATGTCATACTGCCTCAAACATTTAGAACACAACATTTGTAACATGTCCACTCGTGGCCAAATCCAATCTTTTAAGGCACTCTTTGGTTTACTTTATCTGTATTACAATTACAAAGTCCTCAGTACTGTTAAAGGGCCTATACAGAACCACAGTTAATTGTGTTATATTGATTTTTGTCATTGACTGCCTGTCACCCGTGTGTACGGGTAAGGAGATGAGTAGAGGGACTGGGGTTGTGACAGATCCTGTAAGAGGAGGAGTGTGCACTTTATGCTGTTTGGGACAGGCCAAATGTTTATTTGGAGCAAGACCTAATAAAAGCCTCTACATTTCAGTAACAAGTCCCAAAAAAGCACCAAGCAAGAACTGCCAAAATTTCTGAAAAAAAGGAAACTCAGAATCCATCTTGATATGAGGCCTAATAACACCCAAAAATTCCTCTCTGTTGTTTTAGTAAGGTGCTAGTGTTCTTTTTCTATCTATCTGTGTTTTATAGCAGTTGTTAAGCAGATACTGTTTATGAAAGCTTTTTGATACTAATAGAAACATGAAGACAAACATATTATGCTATTGCTGACAAAAAGAGAGCAAAACCTTTTAGTAAATAATGTAATATCACCTATGATGCAATCCCTTGAGGTGGGGAAAAACACTTTTGTTATTTGTACGCAGCTCGAATTCCAGCAGAATTACTTGAAATATTTTCTAGTAAAACAGCAACAAAAAAAAAACAAGTTATGGAGAAATGTAATTTAGGCCATGACTTTTAATTTTGTTTGGCTCACTGGTTCACCTGATTCAATTAAAAAAGTTACCTTGGCAAAATAATATCAAGTGAAAATGTTATACTAGTGTGAATGTTGAACAGAGTACAGTTGTGTCTTGGAGCATTGAGATGTCACAGAAATATAAATGGCATTAGGTGTTTTCGAAACGAAATGGAAAGACGGACTGGACTGTGCAAATGAGATGTATTTGTTTTGTGGGTATACATTTCAATGGTTGAAAAATTCAAAAAGCGAAACTATTACACGAAAGAGTGTTTCCTGTATAAAAGTGTGATAAAGTGCCAATCTACTCAAGAACATTCTGAAAATATAACGAAATGTGTCAGATGGAAAAGGTGAAAAAGCAGTTGGGATGCCAGAGATCAGAAATAGTTCATCACACTCTGATGCCAGAGAGGAAAGGGGAGCATCTTCCTCTTAAAAGGGTATTCATCTTCAGTCAATATGAATAGAGGGTCATTAGTCAGGAAATGAATATTAAAAGCATGATTATACTTACTTTCAACATCAAAGTGGACTACAATATACTTACATTGCTTTCTTCAAACTTTAAGTACTTGATAAGACATGTGGTAGTTTTGAATACTGCATTTACATTTACTGCACTCTGTAGATAGGTCTCCTTTTACAAGGCATTACAAACAACAGGAACTGATCTTCTAAAGCCTCATTATGTGCAAGTTTTCCATGGTTCCAAAATTCCTACTAAATACAGGGTGTCTTCCTGACATCTGCTGGCCGACGGTGTCACTGCGTGGTTCATTTGTGTTGTTGACGAAAGAATTCATTACTGAACGGTATTTCATTCAGTTGACAATTACCCTCTCTTTTAGGTATAAATAAATGTTGATGATTTTTTTCCCATGATGACTCAACTGACCCGGTTTTGTTATTTTCTCTACTGTATTAGCTTTTTATTGAAACATTTGAAGACAGTCTGACTTATTATTATGAATTATTATATAAGTGTCACTTGGGGTGTTTAAGTGAATCATCAGTTACATTTATGGATAAGATACTGCTGATATGATGATAAAAAATACTACATTTACAGCTCACCTGAGAACATATGAGGGTCGCAGTAGACAGGGATATCCCACCTGGTTAGCAAATGCAAAGGCATCTTCCTATGAGAGAAACACAGGACATGGTATTTGTGTCTTAAATTATTCCCAAAAAATCTTTCACATAACAAAATCGAGAAAAAGAGGGTACCCACTGATAAAAATGCACCATGGACCCTGCACTAAGTGTAAATCTAAAGTGCTTTCTCTCTCTCCACCTTCAGGCAGTTTCAGCTTTTTTGCATTAATCAGTTTAGAGCTGGCAAAAGTAACAAAAGTCCCATTGATAAACAAGGCAGGGACTAGGTCTGGTCCCCCCCTAACTGAACTTACTTCTAAATTCCTGAGTTTATGCTTTCCATAGTCTCAAATAAAAGGGCTGAATTTCTGAATTTAAAACTTCAGTTGCATGGCTTCAAAAGGAAAAGTGATTCAAAGCAGCATAAGCAAGAAAGTAACTACTTGTCAAATCAGCTCTATTTGATGTTTTTTTTCATCTACCCACTCGGTTTACTTCATCAATGGCAGAAGAAGCAGTGGCTATGGAAGGTATCAGTTAGAGAAAGACTTTATGCCCTCCTTCTTCTCATCACCATCATTATCATTATCACTCTTTCTCTCCAATCTGTCTCTTTTCACATCTAGCCTTTTTCTCTCAATCATTACTGACTGTTCACTCACCAGGTGAAGCACCATTGATAAACACAAAACGGCTTCCCTGAGCAGCAAGAACCATTCCTCAGAGCTCTGCTCAAGTTATTCCGGCCCATTATTTCGACACAGAAATATGTAGGTAGGCGTTTGAGAGACACTGAACCTCTCTGTATGTCTACTACATAATTGCTTCTTAGTGGGAACTCAATACATGAACAATGCTATTGGAAGAGGTGTATTATAGCAGTGTCAACAAACTTGCTGGATTCATCACGCAACATATTCCACAGGGTCTGTTTTCATTCAGATGGAGCCAAGAGCAAGTTGAAAAATCCCCTCGAGAAAGCATATAGATTTAACATTATGTGTATTTCTAAATCAGCAAAGATGATTTTAAAAACCAAATGCCAATGGATAGATTTTAGATTCAGTGGTAACCATTCAAACTGTTATAAAAATAGGTGCTATGGAACTAAAATATAGCAACACTGAGGCTACTACTACAGATACTTTCATCATTTTCTTGTAAAATGTTTCTGGTAAATTATTCTTGTCTATGTGGAGTATTTTCTTAAATTCTTTTGAAACTAAAAAACTGGACAAAGGTATAAAAAATATCCTTAGCACGCAGGATCAAAATCACATAATAAGGGGCAACGTTTTTTATCTCAATTATGAATACTGTCTGTTTCTTCTCACCAAGGAGCTAAGCGCTCTCCATGGGGCTTGAACCACATCCAGATCATCCAGGATGCTGGAGAAGACAGAGCGTTCTTCAGCACGGTCAATCTGCAGGGGACTCGTTCCCAGAATCTTAACCCCATTGACATGCAACGGGATGGCCAAGTTGTTGGGAATCTGGCCTCCCACAGACACAATGCTACCTGAGCAACCCTGCAGATGAGAAGAGATGTGATTGGACACCACAGTGAGAAAAACAACTGTCAAGATATGTCAAGATCCCAAATACAGACATATCAATGGAAATATGAAACAATTGTTTATTTGATTTGTGCAGGAGGCTTTAAATTTATCGTGTAAAGTTGCATGCGCACACTTGAGGGGACATCGTTAATGCTGTGACAAATCATGGGGACCTTGCATAAGGGTTGGCCAATAAGTTATTACAGTTAAGGTCACAGAGTCTTCAGGAAATGAATGAGTCAGTGTATTGCTCTCTGAATTCATGAAAACATGTGTGTGTGTGTTAGTGAGTGTATATATATGGATACACAATACCGATTGTGTGTGAGTCTTTTAATAACTGCATTCAGCCCCTTTTTCCTGTCTAGAAGATCCAAGGGGGATGCTGTTTCCATGGCAATTCCAGGTTGTATCTCTTCATTATTCATAAAGTCTGCTCTGCTACTCCTGTCCAGGGTTTATCTTCATGTTCTAATGCCGTGTTTACCACACACACATACACCAAAAAGCAAGACTGGACTGAAGCTGCAAGAGGGGGATTAATGGTAAGACTATCTCTCAGAACAAACAAACAATTAATCACACTGTGATCCCATCACAACGCTAACTGGATTACAACACCACTGAGGGAGCAGCCAGAGTACACCTGCATACAAAAAATAATTGAATAAACGTGTTTTCACATCATCAGGGTCATCAGGTAAATATTGGCAATATTCATAAATATTGTAGCATCAATGTGCATTTTAGCTAAATGTAACCTTTTTTCTTTTTTTCCCAGGTTTATTGATGTTAAACGGCTAAACTGATGTAAAAGGTGAATGTAAAAATTACCCAAAAAAAGAGCTGTCAAATTTCATCAAATCCCTGCTGTGTTATAGTTGGGCATAGACATGAGCTGTGTCTGGCTCATTACAACATAATTCTACATTCTACTAGACATGGGCGTATTCTGTGATGAATTGATAACCAGTACAGAAAGCTCTGCTGCCTCATTCTTAACACACACTGGAATTCAGTAACCTAACTGATGCTGATCTGAAAAGTGCGTAAGGGTGTAAGAAATCTTAAATACAGAACATAATAGACCATTACATGTTAATGCACACTTAAATAACAGTGTGCGCGCTTTTTCCATAGTGAAAAAGGAAGAAGATTCCATGAAGAAATGTTTTGTTTGATTATGAAAGCAGAAAAGATGGTGATTGATGGAAGTAAGTTTCAGACCTCCTGTTGTGTTATATCAAGGATGCGCTCCAAGGTTAACTCCTCAAAGTAAAGGCGGTCACACTCATCAAAGTCGGTGCTGACTGTCTCAGGGTTGTGGTTGACTACCACTGTCTTCTTTCCCATTTGTCTTAAGGCTCTGATGCTGGACACAGCACACCAGTCAAACTCAACGCTGCTACCTGGTGGATAAATATGAGTCAGGAAGGAGTTGAAAATTTCAACAGAGCAGCTGCACAGCTGCATAACTGTTACATTTATTTATCCTGCACATTCTGCCATATGATATAAATGATTAACTGACCAAGTCAAATTATGTGACATTCCACTTAATTTTTACCCAAAAGCTGACACCAGTCATCAGCCATTGTAAGAGTTATTTCAAAGAGGTCTTGGTCTGAACTCCTTTAGTATTTTCATAAAGTAAAGCTTAATTTTGTGTTACATAAAAGTTAATATGAGACTCACCAATGTGGTAAGGTCCACAACCAAGAACCATAATTCCTTGGTCTTTGAAATCTACATCATGCTCCTGTTTAAAAAGGTATTCGGCAAAGAAAAGCAAAAAAAAAACATTTAATTAATGCAGTATGGAGCATATTTGAAAAGTAGCAAATTTAATTAATCATCAAATTATTATTATTACGCTTCAATAGCAATTAATATATATACATAATCATTGTATTTGTTGCACACATACTGAAACAGGTTTAACAGAAGAATATGCAAATTGCTGTAATTTACAGCTGAATAAAATGTTTCCTTTTAAACCACATACCTGACCATGATAAGTACAGTACAGGTAGTTGGTCATTGCAGGGTACTCTGCTGCCAAGGTATCAATCTATAACGATAAAAATTAAGAGATTAAACAAAGATGATCTCTTTAATTACTTAAGAAAATTAGTCTGTTTTTTCCTCATTTGGCCTATTGTTGAAACTGAGAGTTTGCAGTTACATTTAAAACATGAAGAAAGAATGTAGAGGATGTTCAGAGAAATGTTAACAGCTAACTCTCAAACCATTCCCTTAATGCACTGAAGGAGTGCCGTAAGAAAGCATCCAATAATCATCCAATATATCTATGATGCTTTTTGTAGAAAGTCTACTTGTGGACAAAGGATACTATGCAAAGCCATTTCTGTTGAGTACACTGAGTCTGAAAGATCTGACATCAACTTATAAAAGCCAATTGATGCTCACCTGTTTAACCCAGGGTCTGATGCCAAAATTAAGCCTCATCTCTCTGGCTGTTTTCTCATTGCAGCCAATAATCTGACCAACCTGCTGGTCAGAGAAGCCATCCTGCTTGAGGTTTAGCAGCAGATCCTTGGGTACTGTTCCACTGTGTAAAAGAAACGTAGTAAAAGTACATTTACATTCTTTATTATGGGGAAATCCACAATATGTCATATGTTTAAAATAGTTTGGATATATTCTAACATTTTTATCTTTTGCCCAGTTTCAAGAGAAAAGCAAGATAATATTTTCCTCAGGTATTAAAGCATTTTCATTGTGTTTGACTATATCAGGCATCAAGGTTACTTGCAAAAATAGTCTTTATGCCTGTATCATGTAAGTAACTTTTACTTTTACATTATAATAAAGGAATGATTTATGGTATAATGACATAAATCACCACCAAAGTAGATGGCAAATAGTCAATGATCCCTTAAGCTATGAATACATGCATATCTGACATGAAACTGATGGTGAGGAAAGATTGACCAAAAAAAAAAAAAGTTGATCAGAATAAGGTTTTCTTAGTCTGGTTCCTCACTAATACTTTTGTGTTGTAAGTCTATTGAACTATGAGAGTGAATCCAGTAAATGGGTCATTACTGGTTCACTTACCCAGAGGTGTAGACAGCAGGGAACAGCTCATTGTGGAAAGATCAATAATAAATTGACAAAGCCCACAGTTGCAAGAAAAAACAAGTTGGCAGGAGCAGCCATTCCATTAATAAGATTTGAAGGTGTAATGGAATGTTAAGCTGAAATAAGGTTATCAAAGCTTGATTTGAAACTTTAATAGGTTCCAACTTAAAAAGAAGATCAGCAAGAAACAAGCCCTACACTATAGACAGAATATGTTGGCCTGGAAGGTTATAAGTTACTGCAGAAATTCAAATTGTGTTAAAATAGATACCTAAAATATTGCATTTCCGAGGTACCTAAAGTATCAGCAGTTTAAATGAATAGGCAGACGTTGCACAAAATAAAACTGTTAACTCTGACAGTGTTTAAATCCCGTCTGAAAAACGTTCTTTTTAGCCGTTTGTATGAGAAGCTAAAGTAATTTATCTGTAGTCTTCGCTTTTAATGGCCTCAATCAATGATTTTTATTTTTTTTTATTCTTAAGTTGTGCTTTTGAATTCAACTCTTACTTTTATTATTAATCTTTCTTTTAAAATCTTTTATGTAAAGATTGTCACACACACAAGATGTGATTTTGAAAGAGATTAGCCTTGCCACTTAATGCCACTGTGGAGAAATTCACTTGTTACAGTGAACAGTAACACAGTTCCTCCAACTGAATATAAAAATCAAAACAAATATATAAGAATAAATCAAAATAAAACAGAGATCAGAAATCTGGTGAATTTAAATTCAGTATGTTCTGAATATTTTCTTTTATACAACACTTTTTTACTGAACCCTTCTGAGAGAGGAGCAAAAGAAGCCATCTATGTCAACTGGAAAAACAACTTTAAAAAGTGGAGGGGGTCTCAGGTATCTCCTTCCCTACATTTACAATGTAGCATTGTTACACCTTATGAAGCAGTTTCACAGCCATTCACGGCTTGGACCCTGTGACCAAAAATTAGCCTTTCAGACAGACAAATTACAGGTGAGAACTAACGACTCTCACTTCGGATAGTGTTTCAGACTAACAACCCTCTCTTCTTACACTTCCCATCTTGCAGTTTAGAAGTGATGACGCCTTTTGGATGTCCTCAAGATCCAAGAAGTCCAGTTGCCTTTACTCAAACTCTTTAGATTACATTAGATTAAATTAGATTACATCTTTTGATATAGCTGTACTGAAAAGAAATACTCTCCCATATCTTTCTGATTGACATCAGCTATACTAAACACATGAATGACAGCAACTGATGCAGTTCTTATATAAAACAACTCACACACAAGCTTAAGAACATGGTAAGAAATGGTTAAACAAGAACTTTCTCTCTTTCACCTTCTCATCTGAATTATTTATGATTTCATAGCATAACAATATAGCAAATATCAACCATGTTGTTATTCCCAAAGCATATGGTTGGGCTGAGATGAACCAAACCTCTGAAACGGGGAAAGGAAAGCAGAAGGTCACTCAAAGAATCCTAAAGAATTTTGTTGTTTTGTGTGCAGTTATCACGTCTGCAGGATCGCTACGTATATATTTTCATATACTGATGGGAAAACTCTGTCTAACATGCATGCAATTTGGTGGTATGAGACCAAAGTAACCTGAGAGAGGCCAAGAATGAATGTGCATTAATATGTATATTCCGTCTCTGCTTGTTTGCTGGACAGCAGAGCTTGAAGCACACCTGCATTCAGTTCTTCGGTCCATCAGTTTGACAGCAACCTAATGTTACCCCCTCATCCCAAAATCCCCTGCACCACAGGCAGCACAAAGTACACAATGCCTCTATGTGTCAGGGTGTTGTTCACCCGATAGTTGGACATTAACTATTAATCAGAAAAGTAAAAAGAAAGCAGAAGATAACGTGTGGGTGAGGCCAGGCAATTCATCATGGCCTTGATTTGAGCTATCCAAGTAAGAGCCAGAGGGCAATAAGGAAGAGAAAAAAAGGCAGCTTAGAGGAAGCGAACCCTTTGAGAGAAAGAAACTAAAACAAAAAAATAATTTGAGGGCTGACATTTTCCAGGTAGCTTTTTCCTTGGCTTTTAACATTTAAACCCAATTCTAATTTTCACTTTTCAACAAGTCATTGGGAGACAGGAATATTTAAGAAACAGTTTGTTAAACATGAGCGTGGTCCTCCTAGGAACAATTGCACCATTTTGTTTCAGTGCATGTATGTGCACCACCACTCACTGAGCTATATTTCCATATACTGAGCTGCGAGCGTCCAGACAAACATGATTCAACAATAAGCTTAGACTTTCAACCATAGAATGTCGATGATCTGCAGGGAAATGCAAATTAAAAACTCCTAAAAGCAAAATGCTAATATTTTTTTTGTTCCTGTTTTTTCAATTTCTGACTATTTGCTTCTGAGCACAAGCTTTCAGGTCCTGTTGTAGTAGTACATCTCAGCCGTCTCCAAATGATTTTGATTAGTATTCATTGTTTGCTTTTGTGATTTTGCCCTAGGCCACTGAAAAGTCCACAATTTACAACTCCAGTGTATTTTCTAACTCCAAGTTATTTTATTCTAAAACCGCCATGGCACATTCCGGATTGCATTGAGCTAATTTTGGAAAAAACCTACAATAACTCCTTAAGAAATACTGCAGATAATTACACATAGCAATAAAACAAATGCACTACATAAGAGAGATGTAAAAATACCATTATCATTATCAATACCGCTTATTCCCTCATGGGGTCGCGGGGGGAACTGGAGCCTATCCCAGTGGTCAACGGGCGAGAGGCAGGGTACACCCTGGACAGTCCATCGCAGGGCCACACACAGGACATACAAGGACAAGCAACCACTCACACTCACATTCACTCCTAAGGGCAATTTCCCCAATCTCCAATCAGCCTAACATGCAGGTTTTTGGACTGTGGGAGGAAGCCGGAGAACCCGGAGAGAACCCACGCAGACACAGGGAGAACATGCAAACTCCACCCAGAAAGGTCCTGGTTCCCCCGGGATTCGAACCCATAACCCTCTTGCTGGGAGGCGACAGTGCTAACCACCACACCACCGTGCCACCCATGTAAAAATACATAAATAATAAAGAAATAATCAATAAAAGGGTAGCCAGACGTGGTAACTGAGATACAGTACATACCTGTTAATTACTCTAACTTTCACTACGTGAATACAAAAGAAGTGTGACATACTATCATTTTTCCAGACTTCCTGTCTCAGTCCTTCAACTATACCTTTCTAAGACTGATCCAAAGATCCACTCAGCAAGTCCATTCAATGCCAACTGGTTGGTTTTTAAAGATAGAGCCTTTCTCATCGGGTTGACCACTCAAGTAACTTCTACAACTCACCTCACAATTGTGTTGAATTCTTTATCATGTGATGCAAAAAAGCCAAGGACTGAACCACTGTCCTTGCACTTGAGAAAAAACACTCTTTCCCATGAACTACATCCCTAATGTCACGAAACAAAAAAAAAACTGTATCTCAAGAATCTAGCAGAGTGTCAGGTGTCTTCTCCTCACTCCACTTGATGCCCATGGCTGCTCAAATCCAATTCAAGTCACTTGCGCTTGCAACAGAAAGTCAGTCATATAGGTCATGTTTCCTTATGACTACTAGTGTTCTTAGGAACATCATCTGCTGTTGCCATGACTGCATACAGGATAGTCCCACTCATGGCACTCCTGTTCTTACTGGAAACTATATTGTTTTCATCACATTCTTCAGATTCACATCTATCATAGACTAACTCAGTCAGAGTATGTCCACACCAGGGAAGTATACAGTATATAGGTGTAACTGGAATACCTGCAGAAGTCTCCTCCTAAATCAGAAATAGTTGTTTGCTAATATCAAGTTGAGTATTTGCAGAAGCGGTTTGCTGGCAGCTGAATGTGAGGAACACATTTTGAGCCTCAAGGAGATTGAGGTAAGCATCCTGTACTATTGGAAGTGCATATGCTTTAACCACCCACACTTGCAAGGATTGTAAGGTCATCGTGAGTAACAGGGTATCAAGGTTCATTATTCGATTGTGCATAAGGGACAGATGATTATATAAGAAGCATATAATGGAGGTCCTAGGTGTTGTTTAAAGATGTTTTGGAAGCTATCATTCTTGCAGATTTTCTAACATGAGAGTGGTGAATTTAAAAAATGCACGTTCAGAAATGTTGTTGTGCCACTGGAACTCATCACATCCAGTAAGAACATAAGCGCAAGCCTCCTTTAAAAAGGGTATTTATATCTATAACCCGTCTTATCAGGGATTGATAATGTATGTTTGTACCTTAATCCATGTGACATGCTACACTGTTCTGATCTGTGTTCTTTAAATAAAACAGTGAACTCATTATTGCCTGATGAGTGTTGCTATTTAATTATTCATCATCCTATTGTTTCAAATTAACTGCAGTTGGCAGCTGTGTCTGTTACCCATTGTAGTTTCCAAGGTGGTGCTCCAGTTGTGTTATCCTGCGGAGTTTGTGGAGGAACCACTTGTCTATAGCCGTCAGCTGATGGATCTGGTCAACGCTCATACCCTTATGGAGAGCCTGAAAGGTGAATACATAAAAAGGACTCACACACTATCAGTCACAATCATCATATCACCAAATTTGTCATTCATGCCCCAGAAAGCTGACAGTCAGAGGACTTCACTGAGCTGTCACCATAAATACCACACTTTTGTATATTCCTTCCTTAAGGACAATTTCAGGTGAAATCCAAAGCAGGAACAATATATAACTTTGTCATTTAATTAAATACCAGTGTTCGTTCTAGCCTGTGTCATCAGTCCGTAATATAACAGAGGTTCTGCCATGACAACAGTTCATAAATATTTTTTATTGGCTTTATATAGGATGTCTGACAAGCAAAATAAAACAAGAGTGTGGGAGGGCTTTAGTCATCAGTTCTTATTTTTTGTTGAGTAAAAAGTACCTTGTTTTCCAACAGAAACTGACAATCAAGATGTGAGTGATTACTGTGCCTTTTTTAGGAAAACTAAATTAATTAAAGTGCTAACAATGCACTGTGTGACCAAGAAATGTGCTTATGTTGCTGCTTTTAACCATGGGAGCAAAAAACAGGGACGTATCTAATTAATTCCCGTTCATTAAATGGAGTCTTTGCTAATTAGCATAGATACCACGTGAATGCCCATCCAGAGGTTTATTCTTGTTGTGCTTTACCCATAGTAAACATAAACAGAGAAACAGACAGAGCATGGAGCTTTGTTTGGAATGACAGTTGCTGTGCTGACCACCTTGCAGTATATTTGATAGCCTGCGGATAAGATGAGGATCATTATTCCCCAATGCTCTGCCGCCATCTCTCATGATCTCTCTCCCCCATCATGGCAGAAAACTTACACAGTTGGGGGTTTCAGCTGTGACACAACCTCATTCTGCTTCTCTCTCGGCTGCTGATAAAAGCATACTGAAGTGCTGAACCAGTGTATGTTTTTCACTTTGTAAAAGCGTCAGAAAGATCTCTTTGTTTGGATAACCGAACTTGACAGCTGTACCAACTGTCTCACTTTTGTCTGTCTCAGTGGACAAACACAGACAAACAGCATGTACTGGCTAAGAAATGGTGCAAAATGTTTCAAACATTAGGAAAATTGTATTCATCCTGGTAGCATTCTCCTAAAGGCCAGTCTTTCAGTTAGATAATCAAATTCTGTTTACGGCGTGGCTGACACTGTTGTACACCAACAGCATTAAACTAAATCAGTAAAAGATGAGCCTCCCTTCAGAATTAATCATTTACAGCTACTCAAGCAAGAAGGCCGGGGACAATTTTTCCTTTGTGAAACTTCAAAATGTGCTTTTAATAAGCACATTCAAGTGTTGTTCATTTTTTAACGTTTGAAAAGATTTGTGTACCTTGGCAAGGGAGAAAATGCGGGTGCTTGAGGGCACAGCGAGCTCCTGTTGTAGGTCCTGTGTGTCGGCCCAGGCTTTCTTGAGCGGCAACCGTGGAACAAAGCCGTCCACAGAGGGATGACACATCCTCAAGGCCTTCTGCATGCTCTCCTCAAAGGTTCGGCCTACTGCCATCACCTGAGACCAGAGTGGGGAAATGTGTTTGTGTGTTGGTGAGTGAGGTGAGAGTGAAATGTATCCATCTGGATCCTCCTCACCTCACCAACACTCTTCATGGCGCTGCCTATTTCCCGGGACATGCCTTGAAAGCGGTCAAGATCCCAGCGGGGAATCTTGGTGACGATGTAGTCTAAACTGGGCTCAAAGCAGGCTGTGGTCTTCTCTGACACAGCGTTCTTGATGTCTGGCAGGGGGATTCCCAGAGCTAACTTAGCTGCTACAAATGCCAGCGGGTACCTGTGAAAGATGGACCATCATGCCATTAAGACAAGCATCAACCAGTTTATCGTAGTTGTTTGGTTCTATTTCACCAAACTGCACTTGTTCATACTGTATTCTTTCTTTCACTGTTCAGATAAGTTGATATAATTAATATGTTATAAAATCTTGTGATATTCTGCACATTCAATCTAATACATGGTGCTTTGATCAAGAAATCAAATCGTTTAGAAATTTTGTTTTAATTCTATCAGTACAGCGTTAAATGTCAACCAAACTGGTAAAATGCCAAAGGAAGTGAACACAGCACTACAAGTGCCCTCACCCAGTAGCTTTGGACGCCAGAGCTGAGCTTCTTGAGAGCCTGGCGTTCACCTCGATGATGCAGTACTCAAGGGATGATGGGTGCAAGGCATACTGAATGTTGCATTCGCCCACAATTCCTAGGTGGCGCACCACTTTGATAGCAGTCTCACGGAGCATGTGATACTCCTCATTGGAGAGAGTCTGGCTTGGTGCCACCACTATGGAGTCACCTGTAAAAAAGATGAAAAGGTGAAAGGTTCAGTAATGGGAGAGAAGGGGACCACTATGAAAAATGTCAAAGCCTGTATGAAATTAGACTTTAACCAACCATCAATATTTTTCATAATCTGTCTGAACTGAAATGTAAACTCCTTTTGGAGCCTAGATTACAGGGTTTATAATAGCAAAAAAGCCATGCACTTAAATATTATGATAAATATGTCAGCAAAATACTGAAATATGTCACAGATCATGGTTTAATTACTGACTAGCATCTTGTGTGCTGTGCATATGACAGCAGGAATGATCTAAATGATAAAGCTAGGAAATTGCATTAACCTGAAAAATTGCCTTTGAAATATTGCTAAAAGCCATTTAAAATGGGGAATCACTAGAGGCATGCATCACTATCTTTTATTCAAAACCAAGCTAGTGTGTTTGTCTTCCATAGTCTGTTAAAAGCATTAGCTATGAGAATTTAAAACCACACATTTAGTTTTTCATCTAAAGGAACAATAGTTGAAAAATCATTGTGTTGGGTTTTATCATCAGAAACAACCTGAGAACAGCAACGTGAAAGCAAAGCAACCAAACCCAGCTTGTATCTGAAGCTTTTATCTTGTAACTGAAGCAGAATCACTGAACACAGTACATAACCTGGTACCTGTGTGAATGCCAAGTGCATCAAAGTTCTCCATGTTGCACACAGTTACGCAGTTATCAGCCACGTCTCTCACAACCTCATATTCTACCTCCTTCCAGCCCATCAAAGACTTCTCCACCAGAATCTGACTGCTCATGGCCAGCGCCTATATCAGAAACAGAATTAAAGATAGTTAATATCTCTATCCCCAGGGGAAAATTAGCTAAATATAATAGACACACTAACTTACATTACGTGTAATCATGAGTGAAACATCAGGCTTGGAGCTACAATTTCAAGCTTTACTCAAATATGACTAAAGAGCCATTCCATGAACTGTCCTCTGTCTAAAGAACCAGATCTTATTTTATCTGCGTGCTAGTGAATGCTGAATCTCCAGCTAAATATATATTAAGATTGATACAATGATTAATAATGAAATACCAAAACACTACTCAGACATCTAATCATAACTTATTCACTCTGACCTTATGAGCCGTGTCCTCTAGCTTTTCTCTGTTAGCACACAGACCGGAGCCCAGACCACCCAGAGCATAAGCCGATCGCAGCATCACAGGGTAGCCAATCTGTTCTGCAGCTTTCAAAGCATCAGACACCTGAAAGATAGTATCATACATTTCCCAAAGAAACTATTAATAATTTACAGCCTATAAATATGCAACTCTGTTTCCAAAAAAATAAAAAGTACTTTTATATAAAGTGCCTGAAACTATGGATAAAGAATGCAGGTGGCACGCAGGGTCGACCTTCTATCATCGTAAACTTGGATCCTTACCGACTGCACAGCAATACTGGGTGCAATCTTCTCATTGATTTCCATCAGTTTGTTGGCAAAAAGCTGCCTGTCCTCTGTGGCAATGATGGACTCTACTGGGGTTCCAAGAACTTTAACCCCATACTGCTCCAAGACGCCACTCTGGAACAATTCTACCCCTGAGAACAAATCCACGTCGGGATGAATCATTCAATACACGATCAAAGAAAAAGAAAAATAATTAACGAATATTACATGTTCCACTCAAACAATGTATCTAATCCTACCACAGTTGAGGGCAGTCTGTCCACCCATAGAAAGCAGGATACCATCTGGACGCTCAGCTTTAATGACTTCTGACACAAATTCTGGTGTGACAGGCAGGAAGTAGACTGCATCGGCTTGCTTAGACCCCACTTCGTTGGTCTGAACAGAGGCTATGTTTGGGTTCATAAGTACCGTCTTAAGGTTTTCCTCCTGGAATTTCACAATGGTAACTCAAGTGTAATATAGCATGCTTGATAGCCTGGGAACTCTCACATTTACACATAAACATAGAAAACTAAGATGTTTGAAATTACACTCAAAGTAACATTTTTATACAATTCCAAACAATAATTGAAAAAAAGAAATGTATCTGATTAGTAATTATTATCTTAGGATGACAGGTGGGATGCCCCATTTAATCTTAAAAGCAGAGACCTATCCAAGCTTCATTACAAATGTATGTGTAATCGCATCATAGCATAAACTAGGAAGATAAGGATAAGAGGCTCAGAAAATGGTTTTCTATGGTCATGAGATTTTCAAAAATGCAAAATGACACTCAGAAAGACTGTTTTTAGAGGAAAATTCCTAAGCCTTTGAGAGTCTTACAACTTTACCAGAATTATATATATATTAAAGATTCACAACCGCGTATAATTTTAGATATCTAAAATATCCTAAGAGATGTGTCAGGATGATGTTACCTTCATGGCCTTGATGGCCTGAGATCCAGAGTAGTCAAATTCTCCAGCTTGACCAATAGAAAGACCACCAGACCCCAGTAACAGGACCTTTGACACCTTCATTAACATAAGAGACAGCTTCATTTCCAGTTTTCTGTTTTAGTTTTCAGACTTCTACTAAATAAAGAGATTTTCAGCTACCCTCTCTTATGTTTCACTACGATTGTCACATCTTGATGTTATGTCTTGATTTGTAAAGGAAAAGATATCTTACAACACTTCTTTAGTAATCTATTTGAAGAATTCTTAAAACTTTTATACCTTCATACATTAATAAATGTCTTAGACTATACCAAAAGGAGCCAATCCTAGAATCAGTTGTTCCACCAATGCTCCTCAGTGTACCTGTGCTCTGGGAGGGATGCTGGGTTTCGTGGGCATTACTGAGACAATGTTGGTATCCTTTCCTCCCTTGATCAGTGATAGGAAAGCATCAAAGAGAAACTGTGGAGACAAAGAACACAAAACATGACAAAAGAACAGGACGTGAACAGAAATCCCAGATCTGTTTAAGTGTGATTATTTCTATTTTTGTCACTGATATTGAGTTGAAATTTGTTACACTTTCTTATTGTCAGATATGAACACCACGCTGTGATTATAGCCCGAGGGTTTGGGCTGGACTATGACCTGTGTAGTGAGATTCAGTGTGCTGAGCTGTCAAAGTCAGTCAAATTTCAGCTCTAACTTAAAAAGATTCAACACAATACTTATACATAAGAAAAAACTGAAACTGTCCAACTGTCCAAACTGAACCTAAAACCTCCTGCTGCTACATATAACAAAAGATTGATTTAATTTTTCATTACATTTTTTTTTATTATCATCATACATGTAGCCATCTGAACACAACTTCAGTTTCCCAGGCCAACTGAAGTTATTTCATTTTATCTTGGATGAGATATGTAAATACATCTTTAATTAGCTGCGGTACAGTATTCAGGTACTTTATGCAGCACCATCAAAGTTTTTAATTACCTCTGTGTCAGTGGGACCCCCTTTAGCCTCCGGATGGAACTGGGCCGTGAAGACAGGCTTACTGTTGTGCATGATGCCCTGGAAATTATGTGTATTATACATAGGACAAGTTTAAAAACAACATATATTGCTAACATTTTAGACACATTTTGAAAGTTTTTCCCAAGTCTGGTTAAACACGTGTTTGGTAAAAAAAAAAAAAAAGTATCTGATATGCATATATGAATTTTAATAGAAAATATTAATATAAAAAAGGAGTAAAAATCATCAACCTCATTCGTGCCATCATTTGCATTGATGAAAAGTGGGCTCCAGCCTTGCGGAAGGGATTTGCTGTCTATTCCATAGCCATGGTTTTGGGCTGTAATGAAGGCCTGGCCTGTCATCACATTCAGCACCGGCTGATTCTGACCTCTGCGGAAACCCAAATGCGTATGAATCCAGTCTCTTTATCATCTTTTGTTTTCCTTAGTGGAACATGTATTCTCAATTATTTTACATATAAGACCCTCACAGGACAAAGTATGTACAAAATCATCTGTGCTTGTGAGTCAAGTCTATTAAATAAGTACATGTTGTTGCATAGATTTTAAGGTTTTTCACCTGTTACCCATAGGTAGCTTGTATGACTTTGCTCCTGCAGCTAGGGCAGTAATCTGGTTGCCCATACAAATCCCAAACACTGGCTGTGGACGATCACTCTCCAACACCTGCAAAGACCAAAAAGAATTTGTGATGAACACAGAGATATTTTTTATGAAAAGATACTACATTTATGAAACTATTAAAACCACACCTTGCGCACGTTGTGGACAAGTGTCTTGGCCAAAGATGGATCTCCTGGTCCGTTTGAGATGAAAAGGCCATCATAGTCTAAACTCATGAGGTCCTGGTCCCATGGCACCAGGTGGACCTCTGCACCTCTCTGTTTCCAGCAACACACACATTCTGTGAGCTCATGGCATTAATAACAAGAAGTGACCGTCTTGTGAATGTGTAATGCAATAACTACTGTAGACACTACTAAATGAACAAGTCATTACGAGATTTTTTGTTTAGTGTTAATACTTTAATTCAACGTATCAAATCTGCAATTCAAAAATCAATAACAGTGATATTTTCTGCACAACTGTTGTAGAGTTACCAGGTGTGCGGTTAAAACAGGGTGTGCATTCAACAGGTGTTTTTTCCCCTACTACTATACCCATTCTCACCTTGACCAGCAGCCGAATTATATTGTGCTTGATACCACAGTCAACAGCTACCACTTTGATAGGGTTGCCTTTTCCAAAAACTTTGATTTCCTGTTAGAGGGAGAAACACAGTCAAGAAAAATGAGTTCTCTACATTTGTGTAACAATGCTGTTCTGAGACTTGTTTGATGTGTTGGTCGATTTAGAAGTTACCTTTGTCGAAACTTCCGCTACAAGGTTTTCCTTGTTGGGGTCAGATATCTCCACAGGCTGGCCATCAAATTCGATCTTCCCCAAAACTGTGCCCTGAGGAGAATCAACAATATATCAGTTAAGTGACTACAGCTCAAATGAGTTGAAGTCAATCCAACTATTGTATTTGCAGAACCTTATCTCTGATGATCTTGGTCAACATTCTGGTATCTATTCCAAATAGTGCTGGGACCTTTAAAAGAAAGTGAAATGTTAATTTACATAGATGTCACATTCACCTCTGTCATTTCACTGGCTGTTTGATCATTCGAAGCCCAACCTTCTCTTCGTGCAGCCATTGACCCAATGACTTGACAGAGTTCCAGTGGCTGTACTCATGACTGTAGTCCTGTACCAGAAGACCAGAAACCTAAAGGCACCACGATACAGTGTTAACCTTAAAAGGCATTCGAGTCCATTAATTGTATTTTACTGTAGCATGCATATGATGCAAGAGGTTGCAGCTATAAAAGACAAACATACACTGCACTGCTCTAATATAGCAATGCTATGAGACTGGTATTTAATTTTTTAAGTTTAACGTGAGAACACAGACGTCCACACAAACTGAAACCTTTTCAACACAGCTGTAATTCACACCTGGATTCTCTCTGACTCCACATGTTTTCTCAGGCCCAGCTCATCCTGCTCCTGGGTGTTGGGTACCCCGTAGTTCCCAACAATCGGGTATGTCAGGGTGAGGATTTGACCTCTATAGCTGGGGTCAGTTAGGGCCTCTGGGTACCTAAAGCAGGGAAAGCACACAGCATCAATATGTTTGTATACAGTGGTGGTTGCACAGGGGTTTTTGCATCATCGAAGTGTAACCTATGAAAGGGCAAAACTGGAGAAAAGTCTCTTTCACAAATGTAAACCTTTGAAAACATAATAAATATCACATCAGGAAGCACAAATATAAAACCACATTTAAAGCAGAGATGTGTCACCGAACTAAAACTTCATTCCTTTATCTAAAGACTTTGTAAAATATCTTGTTGTTGATTGTTTCTGACTTCTGTTGTGGATTAAATAATGGTTTGTTAGTACCGGTAAATTAAATTCAATTATAAAAACTTTGTTTGACCCAAAACGGAATTACACAACTAATTTGTATATTACACATATTAGTTTATACAGCGTTCCAACCTTTTTGGAGTGAAGTTGCACACATTGAAAATGGGTTATTTTCCACTATATTTTTTCCTCAAATCTCTCTTGCATTTGTTGAGCACCACAGACTTTCATAACAAAGATATATGGCATTCCAACAAGTTATCGGTCCTCCTTCTTACCCCACCAGGCCAGTGTTAAAGACCAGTTCCCCAGCAACAGAGGCTTTGTGGCCGAAGGAAAAGCCTTTCATCCTGGTGCCATCCTCCAAGACCAGGTGGGCTGTCTGAGCCTGGGAGTAAAATGAAAGCAGGGGGACGACAAGTCAAAATCTCAGCCAAAGAATAATGTATTCTCTTTTTAAAAACCCAATTCATTCAGACCAAAGGCAACACTTTGAAATAGGATGTGTTGTAGATTCGGAGTGTAAGGATGATGGAAACTGGTAAGCCACTGGGACTCTGTGCTGAAAGTGCAGGTCATTGTGAAATGTGCTGTGAATGCTGAGGCTGACAAATCTCTACCTCTGCTGTGCGGGTATTCGAGGGGGGAAGTGAGATAGAGGGGGGATAAAGGCAGAATTGTAAAAATATGTCCAACTCAATGTTGCCCAACCACAAAAAACGGAGGTCTGGAATGTAATTTTCCTTTTTATATTGCAGCAGATGCAGCAACTTGATTGCACTAATCTATAATCATTTAGGTATTTCAAGCTCATGCTTTGGAAGTTATTGTTTGCAGATAAAAGAACATTTAAACACGTGGGTGTAGTGTAACAAAGGATGTACACAAGTGCAGCAGCTACTCAAAGACAGCTGTCAGAAAAACCTGTCACTTAACAGCATCTATTAAAAACAAAAAGAGAAACACAAAGGTTTTGTTACGTGTACTTTTTTTATCTATACACACATATTAGCATTAACTTTTTGCAGACTAGTGAGACAGAGCTGAAGACTAATGGGTTTTACTCTAACGTGAAGTGACCACGTGCGCGAGCCCCGTTTGACAGTTCAGCTGAAGGGTTTTCGTTTCCCATGTGGTCAATCATCAAAACCCTTCCGAGCCCCAACTGTTTGACTCTGTCTTTATTCAGTCTGCATTTTTCTACCGACTCAAAACTCTGTTGTGTACAGACGAGACAGAGTTTTTTTTTTGGTTTGTCAGCTTCGCTTGGCGTGAGAGGGCGCAGACCAGCGGCGCCTGTCAGTTTTACTCTCCTCAGTTATAAGAAAAAAACAAAAAATCACGTCTCATTCACTAGTCGCCGCCTTACCTTCGCAGTAAAAAGTTTTGCGGTTTGGTGCAGCCATTCCGACGTGTTCCCAAACTTTCTGCCAAGCATGCGTCCATGTCTGAGAGATTTAACAACGCTGTGAGCCAACAGGATTGTTGCCATGTTAGCTCAGCGTTAAGTTATGAGGCGAGACGTCGTCCAGTAGCTGAGGAAATCTATATTTATCTTTTTAACTTCAAATTTAGTGTTAAAGAAAGGCCAACCAGTGTGATTGGGCTCTGCCCTCGTGCACAGTGACCATAGAGAGGGAGTGTGTGTGGGGGGGTGTGGGGGGGGGGGGTGACATGGGGGCTGGCCGCTGTTCTCTTTGCTTCTCTCAGCAACAGAAAGCGTCTCTGGGAAAACATTTATTTATCATAAACGAGAAATTCTTGGTCAGACACCTGCTGGTAGTAATGCTGAATATATTAACTTGCCATAACCTGCAGTTTTACAGCTTATCCTTTACTTTTATCAGGTGTCTTCTAATGTTTCTGTCGTGGTTTACATTGACTTTGAAGACTTATTTATGAATACATTTTTATTCAAAATAAACGGCCCTATTTTTATTTTTTTAAAGGAAGTGATTATCTCGAAATTAGGGCTGCGTAGATGTAGCTATCGCTTTTCAGTGCACCACCTGCTTTGAATTTTTAAGAGGAACAAACACATGCAGCATGGCCCATCAGGGAAATTGCACCTGCTTGTGGCAAACTTGTGCGGATTGCTTTCTATGCAACAATCTCTTTCAGGCTTTTTCAAGCCAATTGCCTTTAAAGAAAACAGCAAACTGTCCGTGAACAGGCTGCATGGTGGTAGGATTAGAGTGGCCTGTGTATTTGCTGATCACTGCAAGACTGGTCCTCTGTGGAGAAGGCTGTCTGACTGCCACTCTGCTGCGTTCAGCAGTCTGAACAAAGTTGGTGTGAGTGGTTCAGGAAATACCTTCCTATTCCAAAAACATGAGTTGGAACAACCCTCTCAAATATATATAGCCTATATATATATAAAAGATTTCCTGAAATGCATATTAACTGTTTGTATTGCCTGATTGACCATCCCCTTTGTAATATGTGGATTAGGACTGCCCCTGTCTAAAAAGAGTATGAGCTCCTCTTTTGAATCTGTGGACCACTGCTGACATCCAGTGGCAAATCTGTATCAGTCCTCCAACGGATGTTGAGACATGTTATATCCAATCCATTCAATATTGGGCCCCGCCAGCATCCTATACCAGTGCATCTTACATTCAATATTCTCTGTCTAGATCTTTGTATAAACATGCAAAAGCTTATCAAAACTGAGAGAAAGTGAAAATTCAGAAAGCCAAAATGTGCTCTGACTGGTGACAATTTAAATAAATCCCTTTACTGGAAGCACCATCAAAGCTCATTGCCCACACGAAAACAATCTGACTTAAACCAATTAATTATTGCAACCAACCTTCCACTATCATTTATGTGCTGTCATCTTAGGAACTGAGGAAACACCATAACATTTAGTTATCATAATTGATAGATATGTTATGGGGGTAAATAAAAGCACTGTTATATCAGAACATCCTATAACCCGACAAGAAAAGAACACTATCCCAGGTGTCATTGGGCCACTGGAAGGGTATACCTTGGACAGGTCCCCAGTAAATCATAGGGTCACATGGCTGAGCTAACCACCAAATCAGGGGTCATCAATAAATCTAAACAGAGAAATACACTTTAACAGTGCCTTTTCTTATATATCATATGAAAAACCACACAGTAAAATAAAGTAAATAAAAAAGATATATCAAATACGTAAAAATAACGCAAAACTGAAAATACAATAGACAATAAGCCTATATGCAATGATGAGAAAACTATGCTGAATAAGTCTTATCTGCAGTTAAACCTCACAACTATTATTGGTGCTATTTGTTACAGAGAAAACTTGCTGATAAGAGTTTTTCTTTTTTGTTTGGTTAGCTTTGACTTGTTGCTGTCATCGATGGCTGAATAGCATAGACTGGAAAATTGTTACGTGATGATTTGGAGAACACGAGATGCCTGCGCCACGCACTCTATGGCCATTTATTACCACGAGGATCGTCATTAGCTGCCTTCTGAATTCCGCCACTGATTGGCCAACATGAGGTAACGAGGTCCAGAGTCTGTCCTCACAGGAGGGATCCCACATTGTCTGCAGTTTCAAGTGTACGTTTCAGGTGGTGACCAAGCTTAAAAGAGGCCAGGAATAGACCAGCAGGCTCCCTCAGTATTCTCCCTGCAAGCCATCCAAACACAGTCTTGCCCCTCAGATAGATGGGTTGGTTTCGAGGATGCATGAAAATGTGTTTTCTGTAGTAGGGGTGGTGGTGGTGAAATGAATCTGCATTGTGAAATAAATCTGTTTATCGAAAGGTAAAACAAATTTACATGTATAGCATTTTTAAAGAGGAAGGCAGTTCAAGAGGCATTATGGAAAATACAATCAAGCACATAACACAATGGCTTAGAAGTGAGGATTTGATTTACAGAACAGTTACAGTTAGATTAGCTTGGATTAGATTTGTTAGTAGACAGAAGAACTATAATAGTCTAAGTAAAAGAGTTAAGCGGTGAAGCAAAGTTGCATTTGCATGTTGCAAATTCAATCAGTTTCTTGGTTAACAACAACAGTTTAACAGTTTTTAACTTTCAGTTTCAAAACCCGCCCACTACGTTTTTCTGGAATTCAAATTTAGACTTCTACCTGACCTCTTGATTACCCTGTACTCCCTTCCTTAGTGTGTTTGTTAATGTGCTGAGGATCAGTATCCTGTTGAAAGGTCCACTTTCAATTTATCTTTCTTCACGCCCTCGTGAGAACTCTTTGATACCATTTAAGAAAGACGGAATCATCATGCTTCTTAGAAAGTGCAGGATCTCCCTAGAACTTGGATTTGGTCCACACCACATGTCCAACAACTCCATCTCGGTTTTTATGTACACGGCACCAGGTCTTAGTGTTGCTTATTTGCTCCTTGACATACTGAAGAGTTACCTGCCAATTCTTTTTTCCACTTCAAACCGTCTGCTCTTGGCTAAATCTGCCAAGCCTTCAAGCTGTTGACATTTAGCCTTCCAATGAAAGAAGATTATTCTTCTTTCAGAGAAATATTCAGTTTAAAAAACTTTTGAAATCACTTGCCATTCAAACTTCGAGACCACTTTAGAGATTTTTGCTATGATGACACTTCAGCAGAAATGTAACCATGGAGCTTAATTGTCAGGGGTTCAATAGACAAGATGAGACTGATCTGTCATTTTCTCCAACATTAATGGACTCCAGGTGGTGATAAATGTAAGGGTTCATATACACTACTTATGTGACCAATCAGACTCTTTTATATTATTAAGGATCTTTCCATCATTATGGCATTGTGTCAGTACAGTATGGCTTTTTATCTGCAGGAGCACTTAAGCCACATGGATTTTAAGACCAAGCCAGGAGATGGATGAAAAGAGGGTGGAGACTGGCCTTTCTGTATTGTATGCTCATACTCTGTTCTGGTGTACATAGTGCCCCCACTGAAAAGGGCATTGAGTAGCTTTGTTTAGCCTGCCCCGATCTAATCCCCTTGTGGCCACTGTGGGGCTTTGGAGAGCGCCAGAGAGGGAATGAGAACATGCGGGCCACAGAGCCTGCATCAGCCCCCCTCAAGGAGCCATGGCCCCTGCTCTTAGAAATCCTAAGAAACTTCACACCTCTCTGTTGGGACTATAAATAGGCACCATCTGTCCCCCTAGGCTCAGTTACAGCCTCATTCTTTCTGGTATGGACGGCAGGGAAGGAAGCGCACAAGGTTTAAAAAGGGGGTAGAGGATGGGACCAGAGTCCACAAGCAGCCCTGTAGTCATCACACATGGTTTGTTGACCTCTGCTGCATAGTTTGGGGCAAAGGAAGTCCAATGGTGTGCGCTGTCATTCAGTTTTTTCTACAGCTACTCGCTGGAAGCTCCGGCTTACCACAGAGAAAAAAAGTCAGAGATCAGGGAGCCTCTGCCATCTTTGGAATCTGACACCAGTCTTCACTCAGTGCGTGATTTTTTTTCCTCCAAGCTCAAGTTGTTCACATTTCATTAATCATACTTAATGCAGATATGCAGAGCAAGCCCAAAGCTGTGACATCTTTTTTCCCCCTTGTAGAATCTAAAGGCGTCTTTCACTGATTCTAGTTGAAGTATTTTTCTTCAGACTTGTAACTTTATTCTGATAATAATGATGATGGTCAGAGAATGGAAGTAGAAATAGTCAGATCTGCAGAATCTGAGCAATCCCTTGAATTATACCTCCCACTGCACAAGTCATTCCTGAGTGGAGGCAGTTGTCGTGCCTGTCCTGAAGCAAATCTGGGGGTTAAATGTTTGAATGACCTTTATGCACCCACATGGCTTTTGGTGTTATATTTTATTAGTTCAGATGCAATTACAGGGGGGGACGCTATAATTGTTTGATATATGCTTAGGAAAAACACCTTTAAAAAGCATGTCCACTAACTAAAAGACCAGATTGCCTAATATGGAACACAAGCCACGTAAAAATATCGCCACCTCTGAAAGGTCTAATGAGCATACTCATTCATGGCTCTAACTAGGATATTTATAGATCAGAATAGTTTGACAGTCTAACTGGCCCCCAAAATGTATAGCGCCCTCACAAACAGTTTTAAACATAAACTATTTCTAAATATTTTTGTGGCTCCAGTTGTATATATACTTGCACCACATTTAAAAGCATGCCGTTGTACAAGACTGTGGATTGTTTTATGATGCTAAATGCCAGTGCTGATCTTTTTGCCCTTTAAGTTGATTACTGAAAGTATCTCAGTCCCTTTTTGTGATCTCCTACAGTCACCCTGTTTCGTGATCACCTATAGTCACCCTACGTTGCTATCACTAAAGTTGTCGCAAAAGAAACAAAGAATGTAGTCATCATTTTGTGCTGCACCAAAGATAAAATGCAGTTTTTATTAATGTAAACGGCCAAACAGGGACACTTGTGTTCATTTTGGGTTTGTGCAAAGTGTTTCCTAGACGGAAATCAAACTGAGAGAGTAACGTGAACTGCATGAACCTGCATCTTCTTGATAGCAGCATATTTGCATTTGCACTATAAAACAGCTTCGAGTGGATAGTGTATTTCAATCATGGCTAGGTTTTATACACACATATACACACACTTATGAAGGCATAGTTGTATTGCTGGGCTCCTACCTGCCACCGGGAGGCTGCTGTGGGACCATCAATTTTGCAGACAGATAGCCCACTGTCATCTGATCCAGGGCCAGTGTAGTACTTTGTAACTTGGGAGGATGTTAGCGTAGTGTCTTCTCCCACTTAATAATCAATAAGAACCTCCCTTGGCTGAAATAACGGCTGACAAGGAAAGCAAACAAAAACACAGATGCAGAATCCTTCCAGCTTACAGTCAAGACAAAGTCATAAAATCTTAATAATATGATAAAAAAATAAAGCAAGGTAAAAGGAAAGTGTGATTACAAAACATTGAAAAACAAAGAAAACCAAGAATGAATGAAAAAAGAGAGCCGAGTGCAGAGCATCGAAGTATCACCTGTCCTGTGCTGTGTGGTAAAATCTAATCTATGCTGCTGGGTATTTCCACCACTGATGCCTCGGTTCTGCATGTATCGTTTTATTTTGTGCAAGATTTAATAAAATGCCATCAGCTATGATGAAGGAAAGCGGAGCAAAGCATGACTCTTTTTTTTTTTTACTCTGGAAGTGAACCAAACAATCCCGAACTTTGCTTAAGACATACTTAAAGTGAAAGCAATGTGAAATAAAGTCAAGTTAAAGACATTTTTAACCTTGGCTTTGGATTTCTCGTTCCTCCAATCTTCATTTAATCTTCATACTCAGCCATCAAGGACAACAGTGCTGTAGAGACCTACATATTTGGTAAAAAGATTACACATCGTCATTAATGTGAGACTTTGGGAGATTATATAGATCTATTAAAGCTGAATAGATCTAAACAACTCAGAAACAACACTATTCCTGTTATAAAAACAGGTTCAACAATAAAATAAAGAAACTGGAATTTGGTAATGAAATTACCATTATAAGATTGCATTAATTGAAAATCATCATATACAAAAGAAACTATAGAATAAACTGGATCTATCTTTTTTGTTTCGCTCCCTTTTCATAAGCTGGCCGGCCATCACGTCTTAATAAAACTCAGCTCTGCCGTGCTGCTGAATCCATTAAGATTCTCTAGTGGAGCTCAGTTTGGACTGCAGCACAGGTGCAAAGACTGGGGCCGGGTTTCTATAAGGGGAGGGAGCGAAGGGGAAGTCAGACTTAAAGAAGGTGCAGTGGAGTGCCAGGGGGTGAGCCTACATGACAGCTGAGGGACTGAGGCTTTCTCTGCCTTACCCTCATGGAGATGGGGTCAGAGAAAGCAAGTGGGAGGGGGTGTGCGAGGGGCGGGGGGGGAGGTGAAGGAATCGGGAATCTATGCGGTTCCTTCGTCACAAGGCTCTGTCATGGTTGTGGGGGCAGGGCTGCACCGCTGGGCCTAGGAGACAGATATAGAAAAGAATTAAGGAGACAGAATTTGCACTCTTAGCCTTGACTGGGTTACTGGCATCAGCAGCTGAAGGCTGCTCTACGTCTCCGTCTCCCAGTGCTTTTACGTCACATCTTCCCTCAGGGTGCTGGTGACGCCCACAGAGACCCAAATTGAACACAGGTGCTGCCATACTCAACACAATTGTCTGTACCCAGAAATAAACAACGTCTCATTATTAGATCTGAAAGATGCCACTTCCACCACCTGTCCAGCTAAAGCCAGGTCGATGGACATTTACGAAGGACTGGCTTCAACCTTGCTGAAACAAGATATAAAACATTAAACCAGTTATATTATACGGTTCATGGACATTCACCATTTCTGCACATGCATGACCAATCAGTGGTCCCCCCATCAAATAAAGCCTGAGGCAGACTTCAGTCAACTTTCAGATCTGTGGCATGTTTTAAATAAATTAATGTGAAGATGTCTAATTATGATTCAGGTGAAAGAAACACTGTGAAGTTGTGGGATGTATGAGCACAAAGACAACTCCTTTAATTTATTTATTTTTGATTATTGAAAATCCTTAGTCAAATGCCTATCTACCTGACAGAGGTTGATGGTTACTTGTCCACCCTCACTTTTTAGATATTTTTCATTCCAATTTTTGTTTCGGTTTTGTTCTTTTTTTTAGGTACTGTGCCACGTTTATAAAATGTGTAATAAACCTTTTATGGCAAAGCTATGGTTAAACCATCTTCAATGGGGTGGTTATTGTGGAGCAGATGTATCCAGCTCGTGCGTACTGAAGCGCAGCCCTGTGCGTAAAAGAGAGGTGTAGACCCTAGAAGCTCATCGGCCGTACGTGACCTTACTCCCTACGTCCAATGTTTTCGTTTTTCATTAGAGTAGCATGGAATGGATAAACATACTCTGGCCTGCAACCCTATAGTCCATGTTTAGAGAAAAGTTCTCCACAAATAAGCGCGCGCGCACGCACACACACCCTCCCGTCCAATATCCAATCCTCGCACGGGGACAGTGTTGACGGGGGCCAAGAGGAAAAATAGCCTCATATATATACGCCCAAACGGTGATGTCTTGCTCCGAGTCCCCTCCACTCTGTGCTTCACCACTTGTGTGTCACCCGAACCGGGAGTTGTCTGTGCTTCAGGGCCAAAGCAGTTTCAGCAGTACTCAAAATGGCACCCAAGAAGGACGCTAAGGCACCGGCCAAGAAGGCCGAACCTGCACCCGTACCTGCACCGGCACCAGAGCCAGCTCCAGCTCCAGCCGCTCCCGCTGTCGACCTGTCCGCCATCAAGGTACAATGACCGTAAAGGCTTAATGCCACCTGTTGTGGGGAGGGAAAAAATTGGGATGCAGGGCTCTCGGAATAAGTTAGGATTGCCCTTTTCCAATCAAACCTGCAGATAGCTGTTTCCTAAACCAAAAACTCTCTTGGAGGTACCTGGGAGAGCACGCTTATTATGTGCATGATGTGCTTTGGCTTATTTTGTAACTATTCTTTTCACTATTTATTTTCACTTTTATTAAGAATACAGACACGTTTGAATGAGCATCTTTAAGATGATGCACCATTCATTGGGAGATAGTTAGAGCACGTCGTGTTTGGGGAGCCCACCCATCAAAGATGCACACAGGGCTGGAACTGGCCAGCAGAACCATGGATAGCTCACTCCAGTTTTAGACCACACCCAGATCTTCCGGGATTGGACTATCAAAGTGGTGCCTCATACATGACGGCAATGCACAATGGCACCAAATGTGGACATGTTAATGTGGCTAAACATGGATCCCTCCACAGATCACTTTAAATCAACATCACATTAGTTGTGTCTTAAGATAAGACACAGAGATTAATGACTGACTTATTGGGGTAGTTTTTGAGAAGGCTAAGTTGAAGATGCCTGCCTCTTTGGTTCACTAAACTGAAATAAAAATGTGTATTGATGACATGTCAGATTGAAATGTCTACTCTGTATATTTGATATTTATAAGGCTGTTTTGTGTTGGTTTGTAGATAGAATTCAGCGCAGACCAGATTGAAGGTATGTAAACGATTTTGCACCTTTTATAATCACATGACATGATATGTTGCCTATGAAACTCACCTTTCACTGAACTATCACCTACGTTAAATAGTTTAGAAGCATACATAAAAATGGAGTTGAAAACCAAAAGCAATCGTGCAACAGACTTAAAAACAGGTGCTAAAGTGCTCATAAGAGGCGGTCACCTCAATAATGTTTCTGTTTCGACATACCATGTGAATATCACATGTCCCATGAAATCTGAGAGTAGCTAAATGAGGAACCTGCCTCTGCCTCTCAGATTTATGTAGGCTTTAAAAATGCCACAAAAAAGGATGATTTCAGGAGCCTCAGGATTCAGAATTTTCTGAAATAAAATGCGAAAAATGTGTATCAGCAATGAGGTCAGAATGGACTGATCACTGTATGAAAATTAAGTGTGTAAATGGCAATTTTTTGCAGGCGTTATCTTTGCAAAGGTTACCAAAAACCACAGTTCATAAAACACATGGAGGTAACTGTTAAGCATCAATTGCAATAAGAGAATATCAAACAAGTGGAGTAAAGTAGCCAAATTCAGGTTAAAAGTCATTAAGATTATATCATGCACAAAGAGGGCTAATGTCATGATGAAAGACTTATTGAATAAAGGCATCCTGTCATTAGCTATAGTTAATTTACTGGCTGCATATCAGTGAAATGTGTGCGTCAGAGTAATAACTAAAGAGGCAGCTCCGTGCAGAGCTTTGAGACGGAGGGATAATGAAGCGGCAGAGGGGCGTTTGACAGAAAGAAACACCTGTGTGCTGTTGGTTCCTATTGGCCACCATGTGACCAGACCTGCAGTCTGGATGCTTGTTACACCGCCGTCAGCATTCCCTACTTTTACTCAGCTCGCCCACAGAGGACCTTGCCTTTAAAAGGAGGGGCTCATATTCTCAGCTATGTTTATCAATTCCAAGGTGGTCTTTTAAAAGAGCCCCACAGCCCTGCTGTGAGAGAAGGAGACAGCTGAGATAGAAATAGTTTGAGGGGGTGACGGTACTCGGCAGGAGTCAGTCCATTCAGCCAATAATACCGCAACCTTTGGGGTGTCTTGTACTTGTAATGCGTTTTCCTTGTTAGTTTATAGAATGACTGCCTCCACCTGCCGGCAGCCATGTCACGGATAAGGCTTTTCACTTTGTGAAAAGTAAATTATTGACTTCATTGCAGAGATGAATGTATATAAAATAAAATGTAGTTTAAGTGAAATCCGTGACCAAATGTGAGCACACTGTGTGTATGTGTATGTGTATGTTTGTATTTATCATATACATTCATATAACAGCTCTGTTATATAACATTCATATAACAGCTCTACAAAATAATGTTGATTTGTGATTATGGACCTAAACATTTCTGACACAATAAAAAGTAAGCCATTTTTTAGGTCAGTGACAGAACTGGTCAATGAAGGTGTTAATATCCTTTTCTCCAACAATTTGACAGATTACAGGGAGGCCTTTGGTCTGTTCGACAGGGTGGGTGACAACAAGGTGGCCTACAACCAGATCGCAGACATCATGCGCGCTCTTGGACAGAACCCCACCAACAAGGAGGTGAACAAGCTGTTGGGAAACCCCTCCGCTGACGGTAATTGAAACTTTTAATAACACTTAAACCTTTCACAGGATGGCTTGGTTGTTTGTGTGGGAATTTTGTTTAAGTGTTTAAGTGAAACCTTAAGAAGATACGGATTGGACTCTGTTTATCGCTTTGATAAATTAATCTTCCTTTTCGTTTTTCCACTAATTGTTCTAGATTTAATGTTAGATGACAGCTTAGGATGTCAAACAAATATGTTTTATGTACATGAGTTCAATATGTCATTACCTGGACATGTGAATGGAAAAATATATATGTATGTCATTTCCATATTTTTATACACAGACATGGTCAACAAGAGAGTAGAATTTGAGGCTTTCCTGCCCATGCTCCAGAGCATCATCAACAGCCCGAACAAGGCACAATTTGAGGACTATGTTGAGGGTCTGCGTGTCTTTGACAAGGAGGGCAATGGCACAGTAATGGGTGCTGAGCTGCGTATTGTCCTGTCAACACTGGGTGAGAGTCAGAGCTCTACTCTTGCATGTGCAAGTTTTTCTTTTTAATAGGAATGTGTGATTAATATTGGACACTTTTTACAACCTCCTACAGGAGAGAAGATGACAGAGGGTGAGATCGACGCTCTCATGGCAGGACAGGAGGATGAGAACGGCTGTATCAACTATGAGGGTGAGCTGCAAATGAAAACAAAGGAACATTCAGAGAAAAACTTTTTTTTAAATTACCACCGACTTATGAAGATCTTATCCCTACATATAAGAAAATCCTAGTTAGGCCTGACTGAATTATATGCTATAACCGGTGTTGCGTTCAGTCTGATTTAACAGTTATAATCGCCCCCTGCTGGCCATGAGCTAGAATGCAGGTTGAAGGTAGTTTCACAATGGATTCTTGTAGTCTTTAACAGAAGTCATTTTGAAATTTTCCTCACTCACTTATTTTTCCTCTGTTCTGTTTTTTCTGTCTGCTGCTGTGGTCTTCATCTGCAGCTTTTGTCAAGCACATCATGTCTGTGTAAGGACCCTGCCACTGCGGTGGTGAGCATGGAATAAGTGCAGACCCCATGGTGTCGCGACATCCACTCGCTGTTTCCTGCACCATCTGTGGAAGCAGGGGGAACAAAGGACTATGAGATGTCATTTCCTAAATCTTCCTTTTATTTTGTCCTACTTTTTTCCTTCTCTTTTGTCCAAATGGTGCTTTTTTTCCCCCTCTTTCCCTTTCCCTACTCCTGCCTCACGGGAAGCTGTAACAATTTGCCACGAGGTGCTTCTTTTTCTCATCTCCATCCAAGTCCCCCTGAATCATTGGGGTTTTTGCTATCACAGAGGAACAGTGACGGAGAAGGAGGTGGAACGATGAGCCCCCCACACTTTCTGTTTGATTGGCTGAATATCTGCCAATAAAGTGACTGGTTTGGCCCAGGACCGGCCATCAAAATGAATCCACCCCTAACTCGACCCATCCCTGAGTCTTAACTTATTGTATCCTCTGCCATTCACAATAAACTTTTCACACTCTCATTTCACTTTCCATTTTTGACTTTTTCGTGTACTGACATCTGATGAGTTTAGTAGAATTTGTTCAAGAAACAACCTATCCTGTGGAATATGCTCTGACCAAGATCACATTGGTTAGCATAACATAAGAGATTATTTGTATTTCTGTACTTTTTTAAGCAAGTCTTCAAATCTAACTCAGAGCATCAACATATGTATTTCTGACAAATGTCAATCATCTGCTTCAAAAAACAAACCAGAGGAATTCCAGTCCCACTTTTTTGTTGTTTTTATTGTCATTATTTAATATATTTGGTGTCATATCAACAAGAGAAAAACTGCATACATCTACTTGACCTTTTAAATACATTTACAGTTGCTGTAGGGTGGAGCAGTAGTTGGGGGAGGAGCACACAGAGATGGGGAATGCAGAAAAAACACAGAAGCAAACAAACAGTTGCAGTTGGGGGCAGTAATTAGGCAGGAGGCAGGTTATACCACAAACGGAGTCTGAAAAAGAAACTATTTCACTCAAACACTTTGTCTTAACAGATATAACAGGAGCTGGCTGCACTCTTGGAGTCAGCTTGGTTCATTAAGTGTCTTTTAAGTTCTTCGAAGTATTTTTTCCACTCCCTTATCCCATAGCTTGCAACGTACACCAAGATATGGTAGCGATCCCATGAAACACCATAGGATACACACACATACACACACACACACACACGCACGCACGCAAACATATGTCATAGTTGCGGCATCTTCTGCTAAATATCAAGTCACATTTTGTAGCATCTTCGTGGCTCTGAAAACAATCAGTCCTGACGAGCCGGACTTAGCGGTGATTTGCATGTACCGTCCAATCCCGTTTGACTGCAGCTCCAAAGGTGAGAAACCTTTACAGGTTTCCTTTTAGGATGGATGTCTATGAAATGAGCTCCAGTGTTTAATATTCTGATGTATCAACAGGCTTCTATACTGAGCTGGTGAGCAGGTACATGTGAGTGATGCCCATCAGCAGGACTGAGATTCTTCTTACCACAGCACAGATTCAGCTCTCTGATATTGTCACCAAGCATTGCACTGTAAACAACTATTAACTACAAAACATGAACTTGTTTAATCTTTATCCAATAAATGCGGAAATAACTTACTAAAATGCTGTTGTTAAAATACAAAATAGCCTCTTTTGATGTTTGAATCCATACATGCTTGTCGTATATTTTGTAGCCATTTTGTCACTTCCTGTTAAAATGTTTTAAGGACAAATAGATGGCAAAATACTTGTATTTTATACATGTTTCATATATATATATATGTGTGTGTGTGTGTGTATATATATATATATATATATATATATATATATATATATATATATACATACACACACTTCTATGTGTGTTTGTATTAGATAACAATGACAACTCATGGTAAGGATGCTTGTTCTGTTTGGGGTTCTGGCGTCCATGCACATTTACTGAGCTAGAACAAGACGTGCTGCGTGGTGTATTGGTCACATTATCGCTACTTAATGTATAAAAATGGCTGTAACTTCTTTAAAACATAGATCCAAGATTAGTAAAGCCAATGTTAATCCAGGACAATTGCTCAATCTATTCTATGCAACATCATTCATAAGAAGAAGATCCACAATTTGAACCAGGAGAAAGCACATGTTTGGGGTTAAAATAGACAACAAACAGGATAAAGAGGACCAAAATACAGCAGCTCCTAATTTGAGTCTCTACTTAAAGTTGAGGGGTGGATCGAGACATAAAGGTGTCGACAGGCTGTGGTTAAGCAGAGCAGAAGTTGTAACCACTCTGCCTCAAAGTGGCAGAATAGGGCAGGGAAGTTTGAAAGGGTGCGAATGTGGGCGTCTGAGGGTTCAGAGCAGCAATCCAGAGATCCGCTGTTCACAAACCCTGCTTGGCCAGAGCTGCAGTGACATCCTCGGCCAAGGTTGCTAACTGTGGTGACTCCATCATATTGATGCTGCCGGAGGATGACAGCTGGCTTTCCCGTTGGCGGTGTGGAGAAACCGAGCCGGACAGGCCTGGTGACTGCACGACGATGTCAGCTCCGTGGTCCACTCTGGCTTTGGCCTGGTCGCGAAACATCAGCCTGTGGCTCTCAATCTGTTTTAGGAGAGAGGTACAATTTGAGGATGAAATTAAAATGATTGCCAACCTCTTTACCTCAAAGACTTTGTAGACGTAGACAGAAGCAATCTGTTCTCTAGAGCCTTTTACCTTTTCTGACACGGAGGACAAAACTCGACTTCCACTACATGTGATGGTCTTGGAGCATGGCGCTGACACTCACCGTGATGCGGCCTCCACCAGGAATGTGATGAGCATTATCCAGGGAACCCACCTTGGCTTGGGCCTTGTCTTTGAAGTCCAACTTCACACTCTCTATACGCACGTTGCCTCCCCCTGAAAGGACGCGGCAAAGGATTCAGTTCAGGCCTGAGTAGATTTTCATTTTGAATTCTTCAACATGACTGTCTTTCTCTAAATGAGAAAGGCCATTTCACGTTTTAAAAAGCAACCGTAAAAGTCTGGACTTTTACAAGTGAAAATGAGACGTTTGGTAAAACGGGGCTGGAATACCTGTGTGTTGTTGTCAAAACGAAAACCAATGAAAAGCCCTCAATGTCTTCAATCAGTGATCAAAGTTGAACTATCCTGTAAAAGTGACATCATGGCTCCAGCAGGTGGAGCTGCAAAGATGTGACGGAACGGCTGCAGAACCATAAGGGACGCCTAGAGTGGCTCAGAATAAATTCTCAAAGCAAACTGACATGAGAACCTCTTTGTTGGCCTGCTGACATTGTTAGATTTTAAAACTTTATATTGCTTCCGAAAACAATCACTTCAGAAATTAATTCTGAAAAATACTTTAAAAGAAAAAAACTACAGTTAATCCAAATAATGAAGGTGACGGTTTCAATTACATCAATTTAGATTTGACTTTCATAGAGACTCAAAATCTATTTTTTTCAATACCATTTAAACTCCACAACTATGTGTATCACTGTTAAGTTTTTGCTCTTTTTGACTTTTCAAATTCAGAGGGAAGAGCTGTGGATGCTTTTCAGTAAACCACTTTCAAGAGATTTGAAGTAAAACTTGAATAATCCTCTCAAAAGGTGTGATCAAGCCTAAATCATCGACACCATACTCCTCACTTGAGGTAAAACAACACAAAATGCTGCAGTGCCGCCAGGAGTTCCAAACTCCTCCTTCAGTCATCTGCCTGAGGACAGATCTATGAAGCTGTCGGCCCAAGGCTCAATTCCACTGTTTCAGCTCTCCAGGATGCTGAGAACCTTACCTGATTGGCTGGTCATTTCAGCCCCACACATAGAACTGAAAACACACTATTATCTTTCTTTGTATGTGAACAACATACATTTCTTACCCATCACCACAGCTTACTCACTGCATTTCTTGATTGCATCATCAGTAAAATTTCAACCTGATCTACTACCATGTTTGATATTTGAAAAGAATTTAGAATTTTAGATTTCACAAGCAACATTGCAATTAGCCTTTTTCTGATTGATGGAAACAAATCCTCTAAAATTATATAAACTGTTTTCCCGGGTTTTGACAACTCCATATGTACATAAATCTGTGAACTTTAAGTTAGAAGTAAATAGATAGGTAAATTAAATGCTCTATGTTTGAAATGCTATTTGTTTGTTTTTTATTTCAATACAGTCACAAATCAAAACCATGGCAGCATCCACACAAACTAAAATTCCAATTTGTCCACCATTAACCTGTAGTGTTTGACAGTGGAACTTTATTCTTAGCAACAGCGCTAGAGTTTCCTGTAACGATAAAACAAAGGAAGTAATAATTCAACATAGATTTATCCCATTTCAGACAGAATTGCTTTTTTTAGCAAGCCAGAAAAGAACAGAGGACGATGGTTCAAACCACCTTGCTAAGTCGGTGCTTTTTTAGCCCACATCTACTCACACCTTGCGGTTGCCGAGTTCAACCACAGTTTAAACTCAGCAAGCCATGAAATATAGATACCTCGCCAAAGTACATTGAAACAGTGCAGAATAGAGAGCAGGACACCCCAGCAGCACGAAGCAACACTGCATCACATAAGACTGGCGCAGCACACCTTCTGCCGACAAACATTCTCATTTCATTTTTACCACTCCCAGTGTTTGCCGGGAGCTCCATACCTGGCCGATGGTGGATGTTGTCAAGAGAGCCACACTTGGAGGTCACGTGGCTCAAGTCAATTTTCTTGTTCTGTATTTGCACCTGAAAGAAGCAAAATATATAAACAAATGAGGAGAGAACTAAAAGTTACAACGTGAGTTTTTCTGTAACATGAGATTCTGTTCGCACACAGTAATCCAAAATTGTTGTCTTCACTTTTTTGAGTTGAAGAAGGAGAATATCACATTCAGTCTACACTTTACCTGTAACTGTAGCATTTGCTTATTGAAAATCATTTACATCTTTTGGGAATGAAAGGTTAGAATTTTCAAAAAAGCGACATCTAATCAATTACCAGAAAACCTTTGGCTTTTGACAAAGCTGCCCTTGTGCTCTGCTTTATGTCACAGCAGCAACAAGAGCTGAAAATGTTGGCAATGTTGAACACGTCCTAACCATTTGCCGGATGCAGGATGACTGTGAGAATTGGAGGGTAGTTGATCAAGAATAGTCAAGAATATAGTCAAAAGTGGCCGAAGGCAGAGGAAGAGAGCAGATACATGGAGAAATGTGCATGGAGTGAACCGATGAGACCAGCAGAGCTGTGAGGCTGTACACACAGCACAATGAACCAGAAAGAAATCCACCACGTCCTGAGATGAATCACCAGGACATGACTGAGGTCAACAGTTGCTGTCTTCCCTGAGCCATTGCTCTATATATTCTCCTCTCTTTTCTGGCCTCTGTGATGAACACATCAGGCAAGGTGAGACATGGATGACTGTGAATCAAACTATGATATGCACCTGTTCACCTGTGCAGCCATGAGTGGCCGTGTAGGTTTGCCAGGCTG